TCGGGGATGGCATCGGTGTGCTTAATAACAGAGACCGACTCACCGGTGAGGATGGACTGATCGATTCTAAGAGTGGTCGAGTAGATGTGGGTGATACGGATATCAGCGGGGATCTTGTCACCGACGGACACCTCCACCAGATCACCGGGCACGATCTCTTTCGCGCGCACCTTCTGGATGCCGGACTTGTCCTGGCGCACCACCTTGCCCATCTCGGGCTCGTACTCCTTGAGGGCCTCGATGGCCGACTCGGCGTTACGCTCCTGCCATACTCCCACCACGGCGTTGGCTATCAGAATAAGTAAAATAACTAGGGGCTCTACAAATGCAGTGAACGTTTCCTCGTGTTCTTCAAACAGGGCGAGAACCTAGGGGTTGCAGATTAAGAATAGGGTTTGTATTTGTTTTCCAAGGGTGGTTTTGCTCATGAATTAGACTTACAAATGAGATGATGGCTGCCAAAAGCAGAATCTTCACCAGCAGATCGTCGAACTGCTCCAAGACCAGCTGCCAGATGCTCTTTCCTGTGAAATACAATGGTTATTATGGGTACACAATCATATTGTTAAGGGCGGGAGGCAAGGGCAGGGGCATATGTGGGGGCTGGGGATCTGGTTGGGTTGACTTCGCACCTTCCTCGGTCGGCAACTCTGTAACGATAAGAAAGCAAACACGTCAGTCGATTCGAATTCCGAGGGGGATTACGCCACCGACAAGCGACTCTCACCGTTAGGTCCATATTTCTTCTGGTTCGTCTTGATCTGGTCGAGGGTTAAGCCGCGCTCTGCGTCTGTTCCGAAGAAGTTGAGAGACTGTTCGACGGTTTTCGAGTGACCGTCTTCCATCTTGATTCGTTATCCTCTTCGTTCAGTAGCCTGCATACATCCAGTTTTCAAGGGTTTTCAGGAGGCGATTTGAAAGTAGAGACAAAGCAAGGTACTCATTTTAATTCTCAGGGTGGGCTGACTATAGCTATTTTCTGGGATTTATTCTACGACTGACTGGAATAGCAAATGTGTATGTATGTACGGGGCCGTTCGCTGTTTGCAGTTAAAACTACCTCATTAGGTTTTGAATAAGTGTTCGTTCATGTGCATGTGCACAGTACACGGGCACTTTTCAACATACGCACATACACAGGTGCTACATGCTAATTTTCAGATTTCAGATACTTCTGGCCTGGCCACTATTAATCGCGCAGTTATCGCGCCAACTTTGGTTCGGATCGCGTTAGATCGGCTGGAGAATATGCTGGAATAATTGCATTACCCTGGCCAAATCGCTCCGCTTATGAGATTCACACACGTGTCACTTCGAACAACAGACGCAGTTTAAGTTTTAGATTCTGCAAGGTTTTTACTCGATTGGGATTTAATTCGGGAACTCTGCTCCTAAGTTAACCTCTTTAAACCGACGCACTGCGTGTCTTAAGTACTTTTTTCCACTGATTTTTTATATATTATAACCCATGGCGCTTTTTTCCGAATATGTGTGCTGATAACTATTGCACTAAGTCTCGAGCCGCGCATTATCGCCAATCGGCGTTCCTACCTCACTATGACACGACATATTCGCTATAGGACAGGGCTGACTGAAAACGTATATCGCCGTGTTAACGGTATTTGTGGATTCTACCTGTATGGCCATTCAAATTGTTACAAATCTAAATTTTCAACTCTCAATTTGCACCTTTTAATTTAAACTGTCCTGAAGTATTCAATTTGCGCAATTCAACTGCGATAACCGGCGTTATCGATATTACCGGTCATTTCTGGTCATATAACAATATGCGATAGTTAACTGGTGAATTTTTCGATTCAAAAATACCGATAGCTGTGGTGGGTTATAAATTCAAATTGTCATTGCATTTATCAAAATTACCACATAGCTGATAACTTAAATTTTCAATTGATAAATTCCGATTATTAAAACTTATTTATATATTTTAATTTTTTTTTTCATCCACATAACCAGCACTCTTCGTTCGCTTTCGGGCATTTATGGCTGAAATTAATAAGATCAAGAGCCCGCAATAAATAGATCTGGGTGCCAGGTATTTGCCAGCAGCGACATTTTTAAATTTTAATTTTAATCTTTTTCGCGACTAGACACTAGAACCAGGCCATACGGGGAATTTTGAACGGCAGCCAACTCGCATAATACCTAAATATTCCGCTCGAGGAAGACCAATAACATACGTAACTTCGGATACTGAAGTTTCGAGAGCTTCCCGCCTCCTAAAAACGTTATTTTCGATAGATTGTCAAGAGCAATGTGCTCGAGAACTACTTATAAACGAGACCACGACTATGTGTTTTTAAAGCATCTATATAGTCTATATTGTCTATATACCTTTTAATATACACATGACACATGTCTGTATGTGTGCATTATGGAGCAAAAAAATTGCCTCTGTCAGAGATGGGCTAAAAATAGAGTTCTAGCACCCGAAAAATACAAGCTCAATTCTGACCACACGTAGATATAAAGATATGTACTAGGAACACATAAATAAGTATAAGTACATATACAGAGAGACGGTTGTAGGGAGAAATATTCTATTCAGTTATATGTATGATTAAACGGCTTATGATATTTCGAGTAGACATATCTGCATTCTAATGGATGTCGACATTTGTGCGAGACGTCTTCTATGCCCCTGATTCCATAATGACGATTGAGAGTCCTCTGATGAGTTGTATAATTATTGTGGGTAGGTAAAGGCATGGTACAAAAAGAAGGTGTCTAGGGCATGGGTTGGCCCAGATGAATGGTATATACGTTTTTTTGTTTGCTGCATGACATTATTTTCACAGAAAGCCAGTTAGAATCAAGTACTGACTTAAGCACCAAATGCAAAATGCGGGTAAGAGGACGTGGGGAGTTGTAATGATCGTGTGTGGTGATAACATTGGGTGCTAGGCATGCATCAATCGGATTCTGATATTTCCCAGCGGTTGCATAACCAGATTTTCAATCACAAATACATAGAACTCGGGCACTTGGGGAAAACTTTACATCTGTGTCGAATCTATTCGTGGTGTGCTCTCGTATTGGTGACATTCAAAATTTTTAATGCGACTCCGTAGGTCGAGGTCGCTCACTGTTTTGTCCCCCTTACGGAATTTTAAGATATCCGTAACTATTGAACTGTGCTAGTTGTAGACTCTGGGACAACTAAAAGGATGGTAACTAAACTGGGAAGACACTTTGGAACACGGTTTTTCGAGTGTAAGCATGTTCGTATGTAGATGTAGGTATTTTAAATAACTTTTCAATTTTCCAGATTTATTTTAGGCGCGCGGTTGAAGTTGAATATTTTGGGATATATTTATTGTACTCAATAAAATTTGGAGTAAATCACTGGCGTATTCGCTTTGGAATTGTTGCAAAAAATCAACAAAACTTACAATTATTATTCTTAGTAAAAATTCCGTTATTATATAATAAATTTATTTCAGTCTGAAGACCAAGAGCTAACACAAAGATCGCGCTATTATAACGATCAACGGCAACTGAACGCAAGGAGAACGCTGCTCGATGAGAGTGTCTATTTGAATTACAAAATTCATATATTTTGGCAAAATTCCCAAAACTACATACACTCTCTATTTTGGCCCGGGAAAATACTTTTAGCACGCACAAACTTTTGAGCACTTACCACCTTATCCAATGCGATCCGAATTGTTGGCGGTTCTGTTCTGCTCGTACTTTCGTATCTCGCCGAAGCAAAGTATACTGCGGTCCCAGCAGCTTTAGAGATATATGCACATAGGTAGGAATACCACAAGCACACGAATATATATATGTCTTGGATCGGCGGGAGCGCACATACATATATGAAAATGTCTAGAGCAATGTGGGGAGATCACTTGTGCCTGTGAGTGTAGACTTATTTCGAAAATGCACGTGTGGTTGTCTAATATTTAGAAATCGTTATTTTTAAACCAATCTGGGCAAATTATGCTAGATTACGTAGAAGGGTTTGTCACTTGAAGTTATTTACCATTAATATATATTTATTTTATATCGAGTTAAGCCTTTGGTCCTGTGAAAACCATTAGGAAAAATTTTAATTTCAGTGTTTGACATTTTCTTTCCAGCAGTATTAGACAAAATATTTCAGGGTTGCCTAGCTTTATTGAAAATTTTAATATTCTGCAAAAGTCTGATTTTCAAATGCTTTAATTCTTCTTTATTATATCAATTTTGATTTGATTAGTTTGATATCAGGGTAGAAAGTGCATGCACCTGTCGGTTTCTGATTTGAAGATTCTTTCTTTGGATTTTCTGTTTTTTTCCCCAATTTCAGAGACTGGCAGCCGTCGCTTAACGGCATAAAAATAGTCTTGTAATGCCTCTACGGACTCTCAGAAGTTGGCAAGAACGCTCTCCGCACACGTTTTTGCCGTATGATATCCGCCTTGTGCAGCAACTATTACGTCTTTTCATAGAGACCCATAAATATACATTTGGCTACTATTTTACCTCTATATGTCTAGGCCAGAACTTTTATAAGCTACCTATATATTTAAAAATATTGATAAATGACAATGCAGCCAAAAATTGTTTTTATTTTAAGACTGGGAAATCTGGGTTCATTGTGGTTGTCAAGCGCTGGATAACTTTTATTTACGAAATAAGTAGACTACGATTAAATTGCTATTAAATCCAATATGCTCTACTATCAATTTAAATCAATAAAATTGACTAGGCCATAAGACTCTTTTGTGAGAGCTTATCTATAAAAACAACAATCAAAATACTTGTAGACACACACAATTAAAATATCTACCTGTAATTGGTGCCTTTTATTACACAAGTTTCCCAATTATTCATTTTTTCATAATTTAGTATTGCATAATGGCATAGAGGAGAGATAAACTAGATATAGGTGGTTTGGCACCCTTAACATCAGATCAATCACCTACCCAGTTCCTCTTAAAAATCTTTACGTCACATAGTAATTTAAGTTCAAGAATAGACTACATATACTACAATTTACTTTGTTAAAAAAATATTATATTTTTATACAAAATGAAATATGTACATTTTTCAAAGTCTTCTCCGCAAGGCATTTACGTTTTAGTAGAAAATAGGTAAGATTCTTTTTTCCCTGAAGTCAATTTAACAGCGTTTTCGCTCCCAACAATGTTACTTAGACTTAACAGATCGTATTTTGTGTACAGTATATTAACGGACATTTCCTGCCCAAATCCATCTCGCGGGTTTTGATTGGACTCCAGCATCAAATTGATAATTTCAGAATAAAAGTTAGGAAAGTTCGGCGGTTGGTACATAATCAAATTCCGGATGCCCTTAATACGAGTGCGCCGGAAGAAGTGCGCTCTTTCCGAGTACAGTAGAACAGATGCTCCGCTGTGGAAGAATATATCTCTCGCCCGGGATATTTTTTCTTTCTTTGTATACTCATTGATCTGAACAAAACTGACCATTTCGGTTTTGAAATGATTTCGTATCCGTACGTAGTCAAAGTAGCTGGGCACATATAGCATGCAATGCGAGAACCCAGGTTTACTGAATTGAGGCATAACATGTTTTACGAAGTACTGGAAACGATCGTCGAATGTTGATTCCACGTTAGAACAACTGATTCGGCGGAAAACCTGCTGAATTGGTGTCAGTACATTTCGGATGTCTCCATGCTCGACAAGATTTGCGACTCTAGCCTTTCCTTGGTAATTTTTGCATTTACTATTAAGCACTGCCCGAAATTCTGGGAGCTCGTGGGATGAGAATAACAAGGTTTGACGGTAAAAACTTGTAGCTCCACTCAGGCACCAAGTTCGGACCCTTTGGCAATTCGTATCAGGCAGTTTTTGGGGCTGCAAATGAAGGTGATCTAAAGAGTGCAGGAGATTCTCCCAGTTCTGCGCCAGAAACAGTTCTGCTTGGTCGATTATAAGCATTTCAATTGAGTTTAAGAAATCAAAATCATTATCCTTGTCAGTAACCAACATTCGAAGTCCCAAAGGAGAAGCAATCAATATATCTGAAGTGTTCATATCGGAGAAAAGAGACATGGTTTTCTTGGTAAAACGAATGCCGAGCTTAAAATTGTCATCTGTGTTGCCACTGAAGGTCTGCTCATAATCCACTGGCTTAGGATTTGTTTTTGGGAAATATATCGTGTTACCGGAATAATCTCCGAGAAAGCTTTCATAGTTGGCAATTGAGGTTTTCCTGGACTGATCTAAAAAAAACTTAAGTCAGTAACTTTGTTCAATGCCCTCAAACAGATACTTACCATCTTGACTGCCAAATAGTAAATCCCCGATTATATTTACTATCTTGAGTGCAGATTCCCTAAACGGCACCATAAAGACCACCTTCATCCGCTTCAGTCCTTGGTCTCTAAAACTTTCTGGTATGGAGATTTCGTTGGGCGACACTTTTTGAGACTTCGCCAGGGCCGAGACCTTTTCATTATTGCGCAATATCAGGGATCTGACTTTTAACATGTGGTTTAGGGCGTGAAGGCAATATACATAGCGGATGTTCTCGGCATTACCATGTGTTCGATGGGGGTAATAAATATCTTGATAATTATTCGCAATGTAGAACAGTTGAGACTGCAAGGCATTCAATGGAAGCTTGATCTTTCCACAAATGGACACTTTGACTTCCAACTTTTGGAGATCTGAGGAACTGACTATGTCTTTGGGTTCACTGCAATCTAGTTCCTTGAAATCGTCAGACAGTTGTGGAATCTCAAATCTTACATTCCCTAAAGCGGACCAATTGCTTTTAATGGTTTTCACATCTTTTCCAGCAATCAAATCGTTAATATTGTCCGGGGACAATTCAAAATCAAAGCGTTTTGAAAATGAATTGTATGTCTCCAAATCAGCGCTTATCTTTTCAGAAGGCTTTTTCTTTTTGGGCTTAATCTTTCTGGGCGCAGGAACAATTGGGTCATCATCATCAATATTTGAGCCAACAAACTGACCTGAAAACATGTTCTGTGTATTAACAATAACCATCGTATTTATAAAATATGAATAAAGTACTTGGGGGAATGTGATTAAAGCCAGTCACGAGCTGTTCGTAGAATCCAGCCTCATCTACATTGTCCTGAATATCTGGCAAGAGCTCTGCCACGGGCTCATATTCTTGTTTCGGGGCATTCGGAAATCTTTCCCTGCGGTGCGACTCTTCCATTTGCTTGCTCCTCTGTATGAAACTATAGTTTTTTGAGAACCTTTCATTTCGGCGGGGTGCTGCTTTCTTGTAGGGCTGCGCCCTGTTTTTACACTGTTTTTGTTTCATTCGAATTGCTTAATGGCGCAACCGTACACAAATCAAACACAACACACGTGTGTTCGTAAAAACATATGTTATAATTGTGGAGTCCGATCAAAACTATCGATACGTTTTAGTGGCGGCATTTGATATACATAGATAACATACAAATGAAAAACATAATTAATTTAATTTAATTTCTAAATTATAAGAAATCAGTTTCAGAAATCTTAAATAAAAATTTTTCGATTTATTTGAATCTTTGAATCCAGATTAATTTGAAGCCGAGAGGCTTCCATAATTTATAGGAATCCCCCCAATACCGATTTCCTAAACCGAAGTTTAGTATATTTTCTGAGCCGGCGGTATAAATTGTCGCTCTAATGGCGGTCTTATTGTATTGACGTTGGGAAATGGGAAGTGATCGCACGGCGAAAAAGCAGAAGATGTCCGTTTTACAAGAACTCAAGAAAATCACCACAATTGTGGCTGACACCGGTGACTTTGAGGGTAAATATACACTCTATTTATCTATAAATAAATACCTCTGCCGGCAGTATTCAATTGCAAAGTGTACGTAAGCTGCTCACAAAGCTCACCAAAATATTCAAACTCATGTTGGTATGTTTGTGGATCTCACCTCTTGAACATCAAATTTTCCTACATACAGCCGGGTCCAAAGAGTCATATTGCACGCATACATAAATTGAACTGAAAGATAAACATAAACTTAAGGCATTGAAGCCATCTCGGTGTCAGTTGTCTTATCTGCTGCAGTGAAGATTAAATAAAAGTGAAAAGCAAGGCAGAGCTGACTTTATTTTGACCTTAGGTGCTTACGTGTGTTGGAAATGTGACCGCTAATAGTATGTCACTATGATAAGGTTTTGGATTCGAGTGTGAAACCTGCTCAGGCAACGAAAAAGTCTAATTTTATTTTCGGTCAGGCGATTGAAAAATGAAAGTCGTGCAACAGGTTTTAGAGTCTTTCTAGAATTCGCCGTGTAACTTTTAAAGCCTTGCCCTCGTATGTATGTTTAAAGGTAGATAAATAAACTGTTTTTATTTCACTTTCAGCCATCAACATATATAAGCCCACAGATGCGACGACTAATCCCTCTCTTATTCTGTCCGCATCCTCTATGGAGCGTTACCAGCCTCTGGTGCAAAAGGCTGTGGATTACGCCAAGGGCAAGAAGGGGTAAGAAACCCGTATAGTAAATTTAAATCCAAAGCTTTATTATACCTATTTTTAGTTCAGTGAGTGAGCAAGTGGCCGAGGCCATGGATTACCTTTGCGTGTTGTTCGGAACGGAAATTTTGAAGGTTGTGCCCGGTCGGGTTTCTACTGAAATCGATGCCCGTCTCTCCTTCGACACTAAGAGAAGTGTGGCTAAGGCTTTAAAGCTAATCGATCTGTACAAATCTCAGGGCATCGGCAAAGACCGAATCCTGATCAAGCTGGCATCCACATGGGAGGGCATCAAGGCCGCTGAGATCCTAGAGAACGAGCACGGCGTGCACTGCAATCTGACACTCCTCTTTTCGTTTGCCCAAGCTGTTGCCTGCGCTGAGGCCGGAGTTACCCTGATCTCGCCATTCGTGGGCAGGATCTTGGATTGGTACGTGGCCAACACAGAGACCAAGAAATTCGAGGCCCTTAAGGACCCGGGTGTAATCTCCGTAACTAGCATCTACAACTACTACAAGAAGTTTGGATACAAGACCCTTGTCATGGGTGCTTCATTCCGTAATGTGGGCGAAATCAAGGCGCTGGCTGGCTGCGATCTGCTCACCATTAGTCCGTCGCTGCTCAAGGAGTTAGAGAACGAAACTGATTCGGTGACCACTTATTTGTCCGTGAGCAACGCCAAACAGCAGGACATCGAGAAGATCTCCGTGGACGAGAGCAAATTCCGCTGGCTGCTTAACGAGGACGCAATGGCTACCGATAAACTATCCGAGGGAATTAGAAAGTTTGCCGTGGATACTGTTAAACTCGAGAATTTGATTAAGACCTATCTTAAATAGACGTTCCTCTGGTCCCGGTCGCAGGTGTAGGACGAATATAACAGTTGTTAAAAAGACAAATGATTTTTTACTTTAATAAAAACTATAATTAAAAAGATCATTTTATTCGGTAGGTAATATAAGAAATATATAGTTGTGTTATATCATAGATGTAAGCTATCTATCTCAAGATAAAGAATTTTTGGCTACTATCAAGCGTCTTTAAAAAGGTTTGATACACGCCTATGTAAAATATATATTTAAGTCGGTGTAAAAGGAACTTTTTTGTAAAGTATCAATTAGGTTTTTTAAATCCTATAATTCTACTACATAAGAGGTTAAACATTTATATTGATTAACATCTCATCACATTACGTTTTGACAAGACAGAAAAATTAAAACAAAATAACAAACGTTTTCCTCCGAGTAATATCTATATATACATTTGCGCCCCCAATATCCGATAGTCAGGCAAAGTATCGATAAAAGTATCTACTTCGTTGCATCCCTAGGTTGATACATAAAATAAAAAATATATAAAAAGTGAGTTAGTACTGGTATTAAAAGTAATTTTTAAGAAACAAATTCATGAATTCCGATCACTCAGAGATAAGGAATATTGGGAAACTGAAAAACATTGGCTGGCGCGTTAAGTGCGATAGAATAAGCCGTTTTTCCGCACCCGAAAGTCGCCTCCCAACAGAATCGTGCACCTATAGTTTTAGCCCGAAGTTGCTCCCATGAATAAAAATGTTCGGTAATTTCACGGTAAACAATAACCATTGTCAAACATAGGGAATAAGTCGCGTTCATATACGTAATTGGAATCGCGCAAAGCTGTGATTCGATTCCCGGATCCACATTCGCATCCATATCTCATATCCATTCGATTCAATTCGATTCGATTCGAGTCCGACTTCCTAACGTCCTGCGTCCTACGTCCTTAAACCTGAAATCAGTGAAAAATCGTTCGCGCATGAATATTCAAATTACTATCCCATCCGATTCGCGATGGTATAAGTATAGTATAGTTTCCCAAAGTGTCAAAGAAATGGCAAATATTCGGATTCGGAGGCACGGAGCACATACGTATTGATATATGTACATACATTTATTTATGTACATCCATTCACACATGCGAACCGAGAACTTGTGTATATATCTAAATACATACGCACGTATATACGAGTAGATACACAACGGTGTGTACTCATATCTGTGAGATATATATGTGTCCGCTTAGATCCCGATGAATTTATGTACATATATTTACATTAAAATCTGCATATCTGCTATCTACGGCTATAAGTCCGTTAGGTCTGTGTATATAGTATATATCTTCCTTCGACTCTCGTCGGTCGGCAATAATTAATAGATTAAATACTTTTACGCGTGCCTATACATTTTCGTGCATATAATAAATTCATATTCGAGCCAAAGTTAATCAAATTCTCGCCCAAAATATATTTCGGATTTTCGACACTTAATACTCTGAGTACAGCTAAGCAGTCATCTCCATCCGAGTCTTAGCTTCAGATGGAATTATGTTGGTATCTCTATATACATGCTACCTGCACCTCAATATGCGCGAAAATTCCACCCGCCCTCTTCTTCACCTGTTACACTACGCCGATGTGAATGTGAATATGAATGTGATGAATTCCAATCGCCCGACGAGAATGTCGAATGTACGGGTGTTTTGCGTGGAGTAATTTTGGATTTTTATTTTTATTTTGATTTCGATTTTTATTTTTTTTATTTTTGTACTCGATGGTAGAGTCAGCGTTGTTTTCGGAATCGAAATATTTGTGACTCATGGGACTTTCGTGGACGGCAATTTCAAAAATGTCGCCTTGGCTTAGGCGCCTACTATGGGCGAAATACATGGATGATATGGGGACACTGATTTAGGCTCACAAATCCCTGGAAATAGGAATACACACCTGCCATCTGACGATGATATTTACGTATTTTATGTAAACAAAAGGTTTCGACTTATGAAAAGTGCAGCCCGTCCTAGTTCCTGAATAATTTATTTTAATTAAAATAGTGATTTTTTGTTAAATAATACAGATAATACATTCCATCCTGACTTTTTAAATTTAATTGCCCATCCAGTCTGCTACAGATATCTAGTGAAGCTCTGAGCCAACGGTGGTGTCACTGAGATCGGAGACCCGAAGTGCACATAAGGACATTGTGTATTGATCCGAAGTACTCAGCTATACTGGAGCAGAACGGAGAAAGCACAAGGGGTGCCGAGTCACCCGACGCGAACCAGGAAAACCGAGCGACGTGTTGGTGGACCCCGTGGACTGCAATGGGTTGCTTTGGGTCACCCACTTCCAAACAGTCGGATGTGAACTCGGAGGACTCAAAAAGCCAGAAGCGCAGGAGCGATGCAATATCTAGACAGTTGCAGAAGGACAAACAGCTCTACAGGGCCACACACAGGCTGCTCCTCTTGGGAGCGGGCGAGTCTGGCAAATCAACTATAGTCAAGCAAATGCGAATATTGCATGTCGACGGATTTTCTGACTCGGAGAAGAAACAGAAAATTGATGATATTAAAAAGAATATTCGAGACGCTATCTTGGTGAGTACCAGAGACTTGCTTGTAATAGTTTTCAATACGTTTTTATTGTAAACAAATATCTCTTGCAGACTATTACAGGAGCCATGAGCACACTTAATCCACCTGTAGCATTAGAAAAAAAAGAAAATGAACCCAGAGTGGAATACATTCAGGATTATGCATCTAGTAAGAGAATTTATTAACTTAACTAAAGATTTTTTAAAACCTATTTCCTTATTCTCTCTCCATAGGTCCGGACTTTAATTATCCTCCTGAATTTTATGAACATACAGAAGAACTATGGAAAGACAAGGGCGTTCTTCAAACCTATGAGAGGTCGAATGAGTATCAATTAATCGATTGTGCGAAATAGTAAGTATTGCCATTATTTTAGAGAATAGCAATGGATGTGGTCAGTCAAAAAACTGTTTTTGTAGCGAATTCCGAATGAAAATGAATTTAATTATTAACTCTAAAGGTGCATGCCATTTATCTGATAGCTTAACTGTGTGTTTTCTTGGAAGTGCACCATAAACTGAAGATTCTATGGATTGGAAGTATGCCCATTTATAAACTTAAAAAAGTCGAGACGCTTGAAGAAATTATTCCCAAATGTTTATGCTTTTTAGAAGTATATCCATTATGCAGATATCACGGAATAAAACAAAACCAGTTTCCCGAACATAAATATATTGCAAAGCAGCTTTTTTTAAAATAAAATATCACTAAGTCTTGAAATTGACTTTCTAATATCGACATACCAAGAAGAAACTATTGTTTGTAGTGAAAATTAAAATTATATATGATTCATACTTATTTAGTCATGATTCCAGACTCCGGTTTAGTTTATTTTCGTGATAAATAAGCTCATAAACTAATTTGAAATTTATATATATTGTAAAATTATTATGCTTACTCGAAAACAAATATATTCTTAATTCCTTAAGCTTGTAACTTGTTTAGCTCTTAATACCAACTATTTACTCATATATGCCTTTAATATTATCAAATTAAAGCTTCCTGGACCGAGTAAGCACAATCAAGAATCCAAACTATACCCCTAATGAGCAGGATATTCTTCGGTGCCGTGTTTTGACTTCTGGAATATTTGAAACAAGATTTCAAGTGGACAAAGTAAATTTTCAGTAAGTATAACTGACAATGAACTCAATAATTCCGAAATAACCTTGCCTCATGTACGTGTGCAGCATGTTTGATGTCGGAGGACAGCGAGACGAGCGTAGGAAATGGATTCAATGTTTCAATGATGTAACTGCTATTATATTCGTAACTGCGTGCTCAAGTTATAACATGGTTTTGCGTGAAGATCCCACTCAAAATCGACTTCGAGAATCTTTGGATTTGTTCAAGAGTATTTGGAACAACAGGTGATTCGTAAAATTTTGGAAAAACTTAAAATGTGGATATTAATGAATACCTTTTATAGATGGCTTCGCACGATTTCTATTATACTATTTTTAAATAAGCAAGATTTGTTAGCAGAGAAAATTAAGGCTGGAAAAAGTAAATTGTCGGAATATTTCTCCGAGTTTAACAAATACCAAACGCCAAGTAAGTAAATAGGTAGAATTCATAGTGGATTTCATATAGCAACCATTATAAAGACCAAGACAAAGGATTTCCTTCGGTAAATTCTGGGAAGACTTTCAGGAAGGAAAAGCAAGGAGAAATCATGTCTGGAATAAAACCGGATTAATTGAACAATTAAATCGCTTACTAACAAACTGACATAGACAACAAATGGTTATTAAATTTAAAATTTGCCCAAAATCTGTGCTACCTTGACTAAAAATTCCGTTCCAAATTGAAACTCATACCTTAGTTAACTTAAGAAATTTAATGGATAATGTGTTTTTGTCTAATTTCAAATGTGCTGTCGACACAGGTGACGCAATAATGGAATCCAATGACGACCCAGAAGTAATACGAGCAAAATATTTCATACGAGATGAGTTTCTGGTAGGTTATATCCACATTATCCCTAACTAAATCTTGTGCTCATTGAGATTTTCTATTTAATCAGCGTATATCTACCGCTAGCGGAGACGGTAAACACTACTGCTATCCACATTTCACATGCGCCGTTGACACAGAAAACATTAAACGTGTGTTTAATGATTGCAGAGACATTATTCAAAGGATGCACCTTCGTCAATATGAATTGTTATAGGTTATCCCCATCGCCGTAATGCAAGTAAATAAAAATATTAATGACTTACTGTTTTAAATATAATTATCAAATGTAATTTGTATTTAAATAGTCCCTTGATTAAAAAAAATTCGCTGCATTTAGATCTGGTATGACCTTTCACAAAACTCAACATTAAAGAATAATAAATAAACATGTTAATAACACACACTGTTGTTTTTATGATATTAGTTATGAGGATGCACATTGTTTATTTTCTATAATCTATAATCCCTTGACATGAAGCATTTTAAGAGTATATTCGCGATTCGATCGATTTCCGTTTCCGTAAGCATCTACAATGGTGTGGGAGAGGCTATCTAGACAAGCTGGTTGAGAATGCTAAAGTTGGCGGAAGCCTTGTCGATTTCATCAAAGTTCCTTTTAAGCTTACTGCTCCAGGTGTCCTTGTACATCGGGTCCATCCTTATAAGGTATGGAGCCATGTCTCTGTGGTGGCTTGTTCCAAACTTTCCAGGTGTAAACCGATCTCCGCAGGGTTTCACAGTGTACTTTGCCTTGAAATCCGACTGGCTACACTCGTAGCACACTAACGTTTGCCCATTCGCAGCAGAAATTAATCTGATGGATAATGGTAAAGGTGTTCAGGGATTAATTATAATGAGAAGCAATGCAAAGGCATTCGGTTATTAAGCACTTTTAGGATAAATGGTGTCACATATACATATTATATAGATTTGTTACCTACATATTCACATACTGTTCTATACAGCACCTTTTCGATAACATTCGGATAAGAACTGATAGCAACAGTTTAATCTCTAATATTTGATAAGTATGTTAGATGATGAGTTTTTACGTGCATCTGTTATTTGTAATTGTACCTGCGAATATTTTATTTTTTAAACAGCTCACCTAACTATGAAAGGTCCATCATACTTCTTTGAGCCAGCTTTTAAGTAGGAAGCATGTATTAGCGGTGATAAATGGTAAGTAAAACGGTTAGTCAAATGGATTGGATTAATTTTAAACTATTTACAAGTCTCTTTCATGTGGCGACTTTAAAATAGAACACTCTAAATACAAAGGTGAAAGTAAAACTCCTTTACAAATGCAATAATTTATTAACAATTAGTAGCTATATCATTTTATATGCACATATAAAATAAAGCCCAAGCTTTTTATTTACATTTCAATTTCATTTCGGTACTCGATATGGTCAAAGTCAATGGTTTTGTATAGTTATATAGATTTCTTAGTCGCTTAAAAGTCGTCTATTTTCAGTCCTCTTTATCAAATGACCTCCTCCAATGCTGTCTAAACCGCGTTTTGAAACTGTTCGCGATAATCTCTCTTGTAACGATTCAAGATTTTTGTTTTTAGAGAGAAATAAGTTCACATTTCTTTGTAAAAGTTTGTAAAACTCGTTAAATAAAGGTGCTGTGGCTGATATGTCGTCGTTTATAAATCCTGTTTGTCGTAAATTTTCGCCATTTCCGTTACAAAATTGTTTTAAGGCTGAAATATCTGGTTGAAAAATTAAAAAATTATTGAATTAATTGCTTATGTACAAGCCAAGCTTTTGTGTGAAATAATTTTAAATTGATATTTGAAACTGGATTCAAATACATTAAACATTTTATAAATAATCTCAATCCGTCGTTACCTTCACAAAGATATTTTCCATCCAATAATTCGTCGTTGGAAATATCCTAAAATATAATACCTTTTTACCATTATGAAAAAAAACTATAAAGTCCACTTTTTTTTTGTCTAAATGGATTTTTTAAATAACACTTTAATGCTCATATTACATACCACGCTCGGCGCCGCCAGTATAAAGTTAAGGCACACTGATACCACCAGTAGGACAATATAAAGATTCATTTTTGCAATTGTTGACCTTTGGACTGGTGCACTTTGAAAACAATGCCTGCCAGGGCTTTGAAGAAGACTGTGCTTTTTATTCTGCCGCGGTTCGTTTTATACCCGATTTGGGCCAAACATCCTCTGACTTAAACAGGGTGATGGTAAATTTATGATGCAGATAACTAACGACAGCTAAAAGACCCGCAGGAACGCACCCGTTATTAACGGCTTAGTGGCTGTGGTGTCGGTTTGGTCGGTTAGTGTGGTTTCCTTTATGCTTTTAATGCGTCACTTGCACCATATTTCTAGTAACTAATGGTAAATACTCCAGCAAACAGACCGGGAGTGTTGGTGGTGTCAAGATTTCAGCAAACATACGTGCACTCAGACATATGCTCAAATTATTAAATTTAATTTTCATTTATACAAAAGTTTGTGTCCTTTTACTTCGTCATCTGCCGGCTAATTAAGTTAAACACGAATTTAATTAATCTTGAAACTTCTTTTGGCTTCTGAGCGAAGCTGACAAAATAAAGGATAAGTAAATTATTGCAATTCGAGGCCGTTAAATAATTTCAAGATTTTTTGCCTTTCAAATTATTAATAGGTCTAATATAAAAAAATTATAATTATATAAGACATTATTATTTTTTTAATTTCGATGTAACAAAAATAATTAGTACTCATAAACAAACACACTTAAAAAATGTGTTTACTTAAAAAAGACAAATTAAATTTATACAGAACAAAGTCAGGCAAAATATGTTTGCTCTTTGAATACTGTCACTTCCTTCGGCAATTAAAAAAATTAAAATTTATAAATTTCAAATAGTGCTCCAAAATTAACCCGTTGAAATACCCCCAACGAAAAATTAATCGATTTTCATGGGACATGAACCACCCTGTTTCCGGATTATCATAATGTTTTCTTCTTAGTATTTTTTGACTTGTAAAATCGGCACATATATTGCGAAATGTCGAGATTTCTCTTGAACAAAAGATTTGTTCCCAGTTTAGTTCAGGTTTGTTCCGAAAGCTTCGAGCTTTGTTTGGTAATATACCGCCCCTTAAATTTACATACTTCCAGCAAGATGTCTTGCTTGCCGGCTCATGGATATCGTCCCAATCTCGGAGGGGAAAAGCCTCAACCCCTATAAACATGTGTGTTATGTTTGTACCCCAGCAAGAGGTAGGTATTATGCCAGATCACCATTGTCCAGCTTTCTTTAATCCGTACCTTTGATTTCAAGGCTTGGGTTGTCGAGCGCATGGGACGGTTTCATAGAATTCTGGACCCTGGCCTGAACATTTTAGTTCCGGTTGCGGACAAAATCAAATATGTGCAGAGCTTGAAGGAAATCGCCATAGATGTACCGAAACAGAGTGCTATTACCTCCGACAATGTGACCTTAAGCATCGATGGTGTACTATACTTACGTATCATCGATCCTTATAAAGGTAGGTCCGAATTTCATAATCATCGCAGCGTAATTAATGTCTGTTATATCACCAATAAGCTTCTTACGGCGTTGAGGATCCGGAGTTCGCCATAACACAGCTTGCTCAGACAACGATGAGATCGGAGTTGGGAAAAATGTCAATGGACAAGGTATTTCGCGAAAGGGAGTCCCTGAACGTCAGCATCGTCGACTCGATCAACAAGGCCAGCGAGGCGTGGGGCATAGCCTGTTTGCGGTACGAGATTCGTGATATCCGAGTGAGTTTCTCTTTATAAGTTATTATATGATGAAGATTTCGTGAAATGACCCCCTATCAGCTACCTACTAGGGTCCACGAGGCGATGCAGATGCAAGTGGAGGCTGAGAGGCGGAAACGAGCAGCAATCCTGGAGTCAGAGGGTGTTCGTGAGGCTGAAATCAATATAGCCGAGGGCAAGCGGAAGTCCAGGATCCTAGCATCAGGTGAGTTCCATTGCATCCTACAATATGTAGGCTTGCTTATGTGTCCGTCTTTCATAGAGGCCGAGCGCCAGGAGCACATAAACAAAGCAAGTGGCGAGGCGGCTGCCATTATAGCCGTGGCGGATGCCAGAGCCCGTAGTTTGCTGGCCATTGCCAAGTCGCTGTCCCATCTGGTGAGTATTTTTCGGATAAACCGTATTAATTATCTAATCAGGGTAGGAGAATGCTAGGCGTTACTTATTTAAATTTTTGTTTTGTGAAGAGTGCACACCCTGACAAGCTTAATACAATCAATACAACATATACAACAAATATTTATTAAATTTCGGAAATGTTCCAACCGGAGTACGAAAGACGTTTGCTTCGGGGAGTCACGGCCAAAAGCAAAGAACACCTTGATCTGCGCTGCATTCCAACGCGGACTGGCAATCAGTGGACCCGTAACTTTACCCTCTCGTCATATGACTCCAGCGAGTTGAGCGAGAATTCAACTTATGCCTATCTGCTGCGTAACGAGTTCCTTGATGAGGAGATATCTTCTATGGAAAAGTGCGCGCACGACACGCAAGTCCATGCCCAGACCGGTGATTTCATAACAACACACAGCTCCCGAGTCTACGGATTTTCCAATGTCAGTTCGCCCCTAATGCGTAGACCTTTTGCAACCATCAGTGAGAGCAGCCAGCGGCTGCTCAGCATCTCCAAAAGACCCATTCGCCGACTGCCTCGAAGGCCTTATAAGATACTCGATGCACCGGAACTTCAGGATGATTTCTACTTAAACCTCATTGACTGGTCCGCAAATAACAATTTGGCTGTGGGCCTAGGCTGCTCAGTTTACTTGTGGAGTGCCGTCAGCGGTCAGGTGACACGTTTGTGTGACTTCAACCAGGAGGATAACCTTGTCACAGCGGTTAGCTGGCATGGTGAAGGCCGACAGGTGGCCATTGGTACCCAGTCCGGCTACGTAACCATTTGGGATGCCGAGCGACAGAAGCAGATCAACCGATTGGAAGGGCACTCGGGTAGGGTAACTGCACTAGCTTGGCGCGGAAACAATTTGGCCAGTGGTTCCCGCGACCGTTCAATTCTGCAGCGCGACGTCCGTACCCCTCCGAGGCACATAACTCGCTGCCTTCGCGGACACAAACTAGAGGTGTGTGGCCTTCAGTGGTCTCCCAGCAATCGGTACTTGGCTAGCGGTGGCAGCGACAACCAGCTGCTCGTTTGGACGGATGACTGGCCGGAACCGATATACTCCTTTGACGAGCACAAGGCAGTGGTTAAGGCGTTGGGCTGGTCACCACATAAATCTGGTCTTTTGGCCAGCGGCGGCGGATCTGCTGATAGGTGTCTACGCTTTTGGAACCTGCTCACTGGGAAGCTGGTGCAGTGCATTGATACCGGCGCGCAGATCAGCAACTTGGCATGGGCAAGGGATTCTGCGGAGTTGGTTACCACCCACGGCCATGCGCAACCACAAATCGTTGTCTGGCGCTATCCTTCGCTGAAGCAAGTGACTAGGCTTTCCGGGCATACCCAACGAGTACTTCATCTGTCTGTGAGCCCAGATAACGAGTCAATAGTCACTGGCGGCGCAGACGAGACTGTTCGTTTTTGGACTGTGTTTACCAAACAAGTATTGCCCAAAGAGCCAAAGTCTGTGCTCAGCTTGTTTCAAGACTTAAGATAGAAGCAAAATTGAGATGTCCCCTGTCCAAAAACATATATATCATCCGATTAAAATACAAATTCTTCGTTTCTACTGCTTTGTATTTTTCAGGATGGACAGAATGCTGCTTCCCTCACACTTGCCGAGCAATACATTGGGGCCTTCAAAAAGCTGGCCAAGACGAATAACACCATGATCTTACCTTCAAATCCTGGAGATGTTAATGGCTTCGTGGCCCAGGCGTTGGCAGTGTACAATCACGTTTCCCACTCTAACCAGGCCAAGACTTCTGAAAACGTTAAAGGAGTTGGTGCCTGCCTCAACGCAAAGAATGTTGAGTACCAGGAGTTGCAAGAAGATAAAAACAGTGTGAAAATGAATATTGAATAGGAATGAATAAAATGTTGTTGCTATTATATTTGCACTAACGATTGTTACGTTATTATCCAGGCGAGTTTTAGTTTTAATAAGCCTTGTTTTAAAAAGAGAACGGAGCATTTATTTAAATAAACAAGCAATTTTTTTAACAAACAATTATTTATTTGCCTCTTTACTTTGGCAGGTACTTCAACAGTCGAACTTCATGTGATAGCCATAAAGCGAAACTCAAGAGTATAAGCGATCCGGACTGATGGGCAGTCGCCAAGGGCACAGGCACGTAGTTAAGCAAAGTGGTTACGCCAAGGGTGGCTTGTGTCCACGCCATAGCCACCACAGCATTGATTGCCCATTTGGCTCGCTTGGGCAACTTCATCCTCCTGGTCACAAGCCAAAGAGCTGTGGTCAGAGTCACTGTACTTATACCGAGGATGCGGTGATTGAACTGTACAGTCGTCGGATTCTCGGTTATGTTCTTCTGAATCGGCTCAAACTGCCACATGTCGTCAGGGATCCAACTGTCTCCCATCTTGGGGAATGAGTTGTACACCAACCCAGCGTCCAGTCCAGCCACAAAAGCTCCAGAAATGGCAGTCAGTAGGACCATTGCCTTTGTCAGGTGGGTTAGACCCTTAATATTAAATGCTTTTTTGGCTTGAATCACGAATGTGCTGTTGGGGATCAGCAGGGACATTGCCTTTGATAGGGAGAGTGAATAGAGGATAAATGCTGCTGCTAGGTGCGATGCCAATCTGTACTGCGAGACTCGGGGAACATCGTTGGGATCCTGGAACCGGTCTTCCAGCCCTGACTTGACCATATACCAACCCATGAGGCCCTGCAGACCGATCAAAGTGCCCAGCAGTAAAACACTCTTCTTAGTCCGCGCACAAAAAAATCCCCTTCTCCAGAAGTATATGGCTGGCAGAAGAAAGAACCCACCAATAGCGCGTCCCCACATTCTGTGCATGTACTCCATCATGAATATGAACTTGAACTCTTCCACTGTCATATTAACATTCTTCCTAATGATTTAGAAAAAATTTTGGGAATTGGCTTCATTTAGATTTGGAAAAGTTCTTACAGCTTGTACTCCGGATATTGCTGATACAGTGTAAACTCCTGTAACCACTCCTCTTGGGTTCTAGGCATACGTTCTCCCGTCAACTTCCAGGTTACCATAGAAAGGCCAGACTCCGTTAATCTGGTTACTCCGCCTATAAGGGTACATTTAAATTAAAAAGTAATAATTCTAAAATATGTAGATATGTCACTAACCTAAACCAACTGCCACAAACACCATGCCGCTGATTCCCAGTAACCATTTTCCCACGGCTTTGTCGCTCTTTGGGATACTTACTTCTTTTATCGATGGTATATCCTGTAAGATAGGTATGAATATTAATGAGTAATGTTTTATTTATAACATATATTATGTTATAATGACTTTGATAAACGTTCACCTTTATCGCTGTTTGTGCAATGGTTTGATGAAGCCGGGGACCTGGTACCAACAGCTTTATGAGACTAGTTCTTTTCTGGAGAAATCGCAGCATTGCGTTAATTAAATTACGGGTCTGGACTTAGGCCAGTCAAATATTTAAAGATATATTTGGTTATTGTAGTTATATTTACAAAGCCGCTTGCGAGTGTGACCGCGGGACAACTTATGATAAATATACTGAACATGTTTTGAAATATACCACAATTTCAAATTACTTCCAACAGTCTGGCCACTCTGCCCTCATATTTATAAAAAAAAAAATTTTCCGGCTTCAGTAAACAATTTTGCAGAGCGATATGGAAACAATATTAAATACGCAGTTCGAGCAGCTGCAAAAGGCTATTGAAGGAATAATGGAGGCAAAGAGCAAGGTAAATGAAAATGTGTTAGCTTGAAATATATTTTATTTACTTTATTTTAGGGACAATCAACGGATGAGGCTCGCACTGCGGCCACCTTAATGTTTGTAGCTCTAAAGCACGCCAACCGCGAGGTAAAGCACAAGATCAAGGCGGGTCGTGATAAACTACATCTGGAAAAGTCCAAGGTTGACCTGAGCCGGCTTCAGCTGCAGAATTTGCTGTACGAAGTAAGCCATTTGAAGAAAGAAATAGTGCGTTGCCAGAAGTTCAAGAGTAGGGACACCAATCTGGAACTCCTGTCGGAGGCCGAATACGCGAGCAAATTGCCCAGCTTGGCAAATGATAAAAAGCAGTTGTCTGGCCACAAGCAGCACCTTCATCGTCTGGACTGCGAACTGCGTTTGCGTAAGGATCTCGACAAGCAGTACAGCGCTTTGCTGACCTCCAAGCAAGAACTGCTCCAAGACAATATAAGCCACGCCCAGAGGTACATATCATTCGCCCCTGCCCTTCGCACCTTGCAGGGCGCCACGAAACCGTTGCACGATGCCCTTCAGCTGTCCCTTGACGTGGAGTGGAAGCTAAGCGCTGTGGTTAAATACCTGCCAAAGCCCCTTTACATTTTTTTCATTATCCTGCAATCCCTGCAACGGGCAAGCGAGGATCAATCTTTTACTGCCGAGGTAGTAGGTTACGAAAGCGAGGCCCAAATGCAAGAGTTGCTAAAGGAGAAGAAGTATGCCACTTTGCAGCACGTGCTAAATGATAAGGAACCTGCATCACCAGAAAATTCCGCTGATAATAGCTTAGAAGATGCACTTGCTCCACATCCTTTACACATTATGTTGACTGTAAGTAAGAAAGCTTAACAAGTGCTAATATTTTTACAACCTTTTACGTTACAGATTGGAGCCGCCGGTTCGAATCAGCTCATTTTGCAGATTCGTTACTTCGAGTTGATTAAATGTGCTACTATGTGGGGGCACTTAAACTTTGCCAGCAATTCCAATAGCCAGGGGTATGTCTTAAATAAATTAATAGAAATATCAAAAGCGCCTTATCATCTTTTCGCAGTGATTCAAACTTTGTCCACCACCTTTTGCGGCATTTGTACGCCAATGATTTGGGCAATGAAATACCTATTCCTGGAATTCAATACGAGGTAGGACGTACAATTGACCGATTTATAAAAAATAATTTTTTAATTATTTAATTATTTAACAGCTCCGAAACTCAGGTTTAACAGCTGAAGAATGCGTACGCTACCTAAAGGCCAAAGACTTTGGAAAACCTTTCTGTTGGCTGCAGAGCATGTGTTCGATTCCAACCGTAAATAGATCACTGCTATACAATCACGAACTTAATTTGAACAAGAATACACGGGAGATTATTGATCGCATTGCCAGGCGCTGGAACTCTTGGATGCGTTTAAGCCAGCAGATTCGTGGTCTGACATACAAGGATATTGAATTGTGTACCCTCAAGGAAAACATATACCCCGCTGGGCTGTCCTGCAGCCTTGTCCAATGGACTGCCATCACACTTGAAGAATTTCATTCACAAATGTCAGACGTATTGAACATTTCGTCAGATGACAAAGGTATTACATACAACTCTTACCGCGCTGTTATCGTCAGGGGATCCGCCAAAATGGAGTGCTTTATCAGAATACCGAGTAATTATCCATTGGAAATGCCTCTTTGGATTCTCAATGTACACTGGAATGGTTGTCATACTTCTCAAAACAATGCTGCCATTAAGGTTAAGGCACCTATTGATCTAATATTTTACTTAGGTATTAATCTTCTATAAACTTCAGATGATGGAGTTCTGGACCAACTCGCTGCAACCCAAGCAGTTGGAGGCTAACGAGCGCATTTTGTACGCCCAGTTATTTCGCACTATCTACAGCTTTGATATATTCCTCGAAACAGAGGGCTCCATGCAAAACACCGTCGAGTACAACAAGGAAAAGCCTTACATAAGTGCCTTTGCCAAACGAAGCCGTTCTCGCCCGTACAAGTATTTCAAAAAAGGATCGGTGTACGCCTTTAAGCAGTGACGATTTGAAATCGAATTTTGTACAAAGCTTCAATGCAGTTACTAAACATTTTCACAGTTCCAGTTTATTACGTTTAGTAATTTACTAAATAAATAACATTTAAAACTAGCTACTATGTTATTGGCAGTTGATCTTCTGTGAAGATGTCGCTGCCAAGGATCCGGGAGGCAACGCCGCAGAAGGGTTCTCAACCGCTTCCCGGCTTTCGTCCGGCATCACCTTGTCTACAATGTGTTTGACGATTAGCCCGTCGTCGCCTAGGTAGCAGACTGAGTAGCCATCGTACCAGGCCTCCTGATCCTTCAGAACTTCTTTCAGCTGCCAAAGCTTATACTTCCAAAACTGGAACATCACCTTTAGTCCGGAAATGCCCCTCACTCGCCACCGAATTCTCACCGTGTAATCATCCTGGTGCTTTGTGATTTTCAGCACTTCGAACTTTACGTATGCGTACTTTAGGTGACCCACCGTGCGCAGGATGGCAATCTGCTTGACGTAGTGATACAGGCCTACGGTGTGCTTGCCGGTTATGTTATTATGGAAGATAAGTCCTGGGCTATAAATGGAATAGTCGAGGGGCTCTACGAACAACTTGGGCAGGGTGGTTCTCAGGACTTCGTAGGCTCTATCCAGGTCCTCGGGCTTTCTCGAGGTCTCTTTGGCACTTCCGGGCTCCCTTTCCGCATTAGTGCTTTCGTGGACGCCGCGACATTGCTGGAGGTTATCGGTTACATTGCAATTTAACAGCTTCTGTTGGCATGTTGGTGGGGCAGGTGTACTTGGTCTCATGGCGGACGCCCACCCCCTCTGCTTGGAGCACCAGTTTGCCATCCAGCTGCTCCTTCTTATTGATAACATCCCAAAATTTCTCATCATCTTGCAAGGATTTTGTGTTCTACTTCCTAAACCCAAAATTGGACTTCTTCGAATCAAACCTAATTCGTATGCAGATCAAACCATTCAGATACACCAATAATCCAGGTATTTGGCTATTTTTCGATTGCGTGCTGCAGGAATTTGACGTGCTCGTGTTTAGGTAACGACATTTGGAATAAAATACTCGGCAAAAAACATATGTTCTCAGCAGCAGAGTGTTACCAGATGGTAATCCAATAATGCACACTGAAATCATAAAGCCCGTTTAATTTTAAACTTGATTACGGAATGAAATCTTATTATGAAGTTTTGGAAACCAATACAAGGGGAAAAAAATAATTCACATGTTATATTTAATATATTTTGTTAGGTTTTTCGTATCTTTAAAAGCAAAGCTTATGAGTTAAAAATAGGGATATTCTATTTAGGATTTTACTATATAAACATAAACATTTTCTTATTGTCAAGAAAAGCGTAAATCCAAATTGATTCTTTACTAATTTTAATGAATTATTTATGCTGTTCCCTGTGTCGTACCTCAACACATATCAATTCGTGCCACACGGATCGATTTCTGACTCCTTTGTAACGGAAAACTGTTGCATTTTACAGTACTAAATGGGTTTTGTGCGCAGACATCCTGCGCAGACCAATTTGTTACAAGCTTGAATCACACACAAATCTGGGGGCATACACATATATTTGTCTACAAGTAAACACGTTGTTTACAGACACTTAGCTATATAACACTAGTTTCAGTTAAGGAGCTTTCGCTGGCTGAAAAATCGACTTTTATTTGAGCTTAAACCTATAAACTCTGGTACTATGACGCATTAATCAGTGACGGTATTATTGAGTGCCAAATACTTGATTTAGTTTCAATGTCTATTAAACTCTGCTAGCCTTAATATTGAGAAAAATCAATAGGAAGTAAATAAAAATGCTACACGCCTGAATTAAGCTTTGTGGATATTTAAGCAACTATAATCAATTTTTCTATTGAGAATTGACGAATCCAAAATGTACGGAATCTCTCAATCAACTGTAAACGTAAGTTTTTTAACCGGCCGATGAATATCTTCTAACCAAGCTTACTGTGAATCCAACTGTGGTTGCCTCGCCTTTATTACTCTGAGAATATTGATTGGCCCTGCAACTTGATCAATATACATACGTTACCTTCCAGAATCAACGCTTTCGAGTTCGTGATATGGATAACGAGCAAATCATGTCCACTTTTGGGAACATAGGACACCTACTGAACATCGCTGTGGAGCGATTTATAACGATTGGGGAGATAATTGCGGAGGAAAATATTGACATCAAGGGAGATATGTACGAGGCCGCAAAAGAGGCCAGAGATGCAGGTACATATATAATTTTTTATATCCTCCTAAAGCGACCTATCGTATAACATACATTCTTGCTTGCAGGAAAATCGATTGAACGGCTTTGTGATATATCACCATTGGGTGGTATGGAGCTTCGACATCACATTGAGCCCCTTAAAGACTATGGCGCTATTATACTGGCGGCGAGGTCGTTACTATCCTCAGTTACGCGAATTTTACTTTTAGTGGACATTATAGTTGTGAAGAAACTCTTGACCGCCAAGAAGCGAGCCTCCGAGAGCCTAGAGAAGCTAGAGTCCGTAATGAACTTCACCGAATTTGTGCGAGCTTTCTCCGTGTTCGGAACAGAAATGATCGAATTGGCTTACCTCACTGGCCACCATCGCAACTCCTTCAAAGAAGAGCGGAGGCGGGCTCAAATGTTCTCCGCTCGCCAGATCCTGGAGAAATCCATTGCCATTTTGCTAACATCCTCGAAGAACAGCTTGATTCATAGTGACTGTGTGATCGTGAAAGAGAATCGGGACACGGTCTTTTGCCAAATTCGAAGGGCTATGGATCTTATCCACTTTGTGGTTAAGGACAGCATCTTTGACTCGGCCAAGCACATGCCCTTCGACAAGCAGGCCAGCAATCCGAACTACGAGAACGAAAGTATATACACAACAATAAAGCGTATTGTAAACCTGATAAAGCGGTACAAGTACCAGATGAGCTACTACGATAGTAACACCGAGGGTAATAACAATTCCGACGCTTACTTTAGTTTCCTCGACGACGATCTCTGGAAGTCGGAAAAGAACTTGGCTTCCTCAGTGGGCGGAGGACGATTGGTAAACAACACCAACTTCAGAAAACACCTCAGTTCCGAGAGCATGGACCTGCGCGAAGAGCTATCGATGGCATTTGAGAAGCTCTTCGAGAAGGCCCACGACTTTACAGACTCCCCGTACATAAGTCACAACCATCGAAAGAACATATTGTCCTACTGCGACAACTGCAAGCTGGAGTTTGACCTCTACCTAAACACTATTATGAAGGATCAGCACGATAGTGCTGGCATCCAGGTAAAGGGTCAGGGTCGCGATCCCGAGCTGGGGATGCTCAGCAGTCTGGAGGAGCTATGCAAGCAGCTCGTTGTCTCAGTTTCCAGTCAAATCGAGGACTTCAACGAGTCTCTAAAGATCTGCTCCAAACTGGTCAAATCGTTCCACGTCCTGGCAACGAACTACGACATTGACAATCTAAACCAACGCTCCACGAAGTTCCACGACTGCTGTGACCACATCTTCGACATTTGCAAGCTGCTCCAGCACATAGCCCCCACAGAAAGGCTACAGGTTCAGGCCAAGTGTCTGGCCATCAATCTGCGAATCTATGGACCGCAGGTCTTTATCGCGGCCAAAATTCTTTGGAAGTACTCCAACAGCAGTGCGGCCAACGAGAACTTTGAGTCCTTCTCGGACATGTGGAAGTGGCTGACGAACGAGATTTCTATGATCGCCAAGAAGATACTTGTATCTATTAATACTACTAAGAACGACAGAGAAGCTGAAACTGAGGTAGGTCACTAACGAACATCAGACGTTTTTGTTCCTAACTACTTTCGGTACTTCCCCAGAAATGTGAAACCACAGATAAACTAACAAAATCCGGTGTACCTGCAACAGAAGATGGAGAAATGGTTGAGTATTCTGGCCTCGAAGGCAAAAACAATGGAGATCTAAACACATATCAATCAAAATGGAGTGAAGACTTGTCGGACGACAACGACATATTAAAGAGAGCTAAGAACATGTCAGCGATGGCTTTCCTTATGTATCAGTTTACAAAGGGAAACGGTTCTTTAAGAACAACTCAGGATTTGTTTACTCAAGCCGAATATTTTGCGGAGGAAGCCAATCGACTTTACAAAGTCCTTCGCCACTTTTCATACCAGGTAACCTGGTGGTATCTTTGAATCCCAATAAACCAATTTGTTAACACTTTATTTCATTATCTGGTAGGTTCCCGCTAGTGACAACAAAAAGGATCTCCTTAACATTTTAGATAGAGTGCCGACTTTTGTCCAAGCACTTCAATTTACAGTCAAAGACCACACGGTTGGTAAAGCTGCCACTTTTGTGAAGGTCGATCATGTCATCAGAGAAACCAAAAACCTTATGAACGTTATAAATAAAGTAGTATCGAAGTGCTTTGAGTGCGCAACTAAGGTAAATAAGTCAAAGCCAAGCCGTAGGGCCATTTCATATAGTTAATACTACAATAATCTTAATGTGTATGAGTTTTATAGTTTACTGTGATATTAAAGCATGCATTATTACAGGTATGATTTTAGAATTCATTTTATTTATTCCAAAGGAGACAAGGTTAATTGTTTTGGTTATGAACTTTGCCTGTTTGTATATTCTACATTATTTCCGCAAAAAGAGCTATACATAAACTAAACACACATTTAATCGAAGTTAAATATCTCCTTACACCCTACAGCGTAGATCCTGGTCGTTATGCCTGAAAATGTATCACTTGTATCTTATAATCATATTATTATGCCTTAATGCCATAGTTTTTACTGTAGTTGTAACTAAATAACAAAAACTATCTGACGAATTAAGATACTTTACTCCTACTGTGTTACTTTAACCCGATTTCAAGTATAATTTTTGTATATTTCAAAGCTTTAAAGAGAGCTTATATCCCAGACCCTATTAACTATAATTTGAAATAATCCCCCTTGCAGTACAAACTAAATTTAACTGGGATAACCGGCGGACTAACATCGGAGAGGACAAACGAGAACATGGCCGGTGGAATGTGCGATTCTAAGGGAACGACGAGCAGCAGCGATATTCCCTGACATTACGGAATGGCTCGAAGAGCCAAGGGGGATGCACGGAGGACTAGGGTATCATTTTTACTCTTCTGAGCAGAAACTTTTTATTATTATTATCTACACTGTTAGCATTCTTAATACATTCAATTTTGTGTATTAGTTGAAGCCGCTTTTAGCGTTGAATAATGTCAAAAACTTTATTAACATTCAAAATCCAATTAGTTGTTTTAACAGCACGATCCTAAAATGCATATTTTGTTTAACTTCATTCGAAAATAACGGCAATAAAGGTAATAGAAGATGCAGATATGTATGCGAACTTGTTTAAATTGGGCCTACAAATCCGTTCGCAAATAGTTCCTATTGTGTTCATTGATTGTGTGTGTTTGAGCTCCATTGTTGCAACAGCTTGTCTTCGGTTCCTGCGACACATTGTAAACTTTCAGCGCCACTGTTTCTTTTAATTGATCCGTTTGGGCGGTGGAATTCTTCAGTTTTAGCAGGTTTTTAAACAGCATTAGGTCCAGAGCAAACAATGCTGCACATATAAAAGAAAGTGTTCCTAGGGCATAGGCGTAAATTAGAAGGTCCTCATGAAGTTGTTCCACGGTGAAGAATATAAGAAGTCCTTAAAGAAAAGGTTAAGTATCTGAACCCAAATCGCAATAAATTTATTACCCTCTATAGTGAAAAACAAAACACCACAGGTTAACAGAATTACTTCGCAAGTGCCATAGTTCGATGTAGAGTCGATAATTCTAAAAAGAAAATAAACTTTTGACGATGAATCACTATTACTATTTAATTACCTTGTGAGAAGCAAAACTGCTGAGACAAAGGTGTATCCTACGAAGGTTAGAGTGCTAAAATCATCGCCTTCCTTTGACCAGGATATGTTGTTCAAAAGTGTCCATTCCCTGGATTGCTTTTTGTTAATAAGGAACACCCTTTCCGAGTGCTTGTCCGACAATCTCTTCACAATCAGTGTTGCCACGGTAGCAATCTATCAATGAAATACACATTTTTAGGTTTTTATTCTTCAGAGTTTTCCGTTTAACAGGTTCACTAAATCGGTCTGAGTGCGTTGAAGTGGGTCAATTCTTCAGTTTGAATATGATCTTGAAGAAGTACTTGCAAGCTGGATAACTTTGGTGCATATACAAGCTGCTAGTCCCATGTTTAACGTTCTTGGCGAACACTTTGATACTGAGGCACGTACGGGCTAAATTTACCTGACCCATGCAAATTTTCTCACATTTGGTTGCGTTGTTTAGCGTGGGAAAAGACAAAGTCAAAGAAGTGATTGGGTCAAGAAAGATTTCCATTATTATTGCTAAGTTTCTTCCAAAACAACCCATACCTTGAACTATGAGACTCTGTGGCGAATGTTGTTTTATGCTCGTACCCTTATCAGCAAAAAAAAATATATGTAGATGCTTGATCTATCTACCAGTCTATAAACAAAAAAACAAAACAAATACAGAAACTCAGTGAAAAGATTGCCGTATGCTCTATAAACTTATCAGTACGATTACAGAAAAATTAACACAGCTATTTGGATTGCGAATAAAATATACTCTTTTGTATTAGCCGTATAACAACTCCTAATAATAGGAACAACCTTCTTTTGTTATTTAGAAAAATCCAAGTACCCTACAGTTCTAAGGGTATTACCATGGCGAAGCCATAAAGTTCATCACGATGCGATCCTCAGTTTCGTTGAGGCAATCGGTGTGTAGAAGGCGATCACGGCGTATCGCACCTAGAAACAATAAAGTAATAAACTGTAATATAATGAGCGTATGCATAATTGGGGCCGGAACAGCGGGTCTCTGCTGTGCCCGTCACTCGATTGAAAATGGCTTCCAGACCACAGTATTTGAACTGTCCGATCGAATCGGTGGAACCTGGGTTTACAATGAGGCAACAGGTGTTGTTAACGGGATTGATGTCCACAGCAGCATGTACAAGAATTTACGGTAGGTTTATAAGTATAAGTAAGTATAAGACACCATTGACATTTGACGATTTTTGATAGAACAAATCTGCCAAAGGAAGTAATGGGCTTTCCCGACTTTGAAATTGGCAAAAATAAGTTTTCCTATGTTAGATCCGACGAGATCTGTGATTTCCTGAATCAATACGCGGATAACTTTAATCTAAGGAAGCATATAAAGTTCAGTTCCTATGTTATTCGAGTGGTGCAAAGGAAATCAAAGTGGCAAGTAAGTTATTTTCTTTATTCGCCTTAAGAAAAACATTTTCTAACCGAACACTTGGCAGGTTCTTTCTAAAAATGTTGTTACAAACAAAATAGAGATCCATTACTTTGATAAGGTTATGGTGGCCAATGGCCATTATCACACACCGAACTTTAGTAAAATTCAAAATATGAATCGATTTGCGGGCGACTACTTGCACAGCCATGATTTCAGAACCAAGGAAATTTTTGAAGGTAAAATCCTTTTATGTTTGTATAAGAAACAACTATGATACAAACCTTTAAACTCCAAGGTAAATCCGTTTTGGTTATTGGAGCTGGCCCTAGTGGCATGGACCTATCTAACATCATTTCTCGATCGGCGGCGAGAGTTACAATAAGTCACCACTTGGCTGATATCGGGAAAAACATATTCTTTGAAAATGTCCAACAGAAGCCCGATGTGCGGGAGCTCGATGAGAAGGGTGCCTTTTTTGTTGATGGATCCTACGAACAGTTCGACACCATTTTCTTCTGTACCGGATATAAGTATGCATTTCCCTTCTTGAGTGTGAATTCTGGGATTCATGTGGAGGACAACTATGTCCAAGAGTTGTATAAGCAATGCATTAATATAAGAAACCCATCGATGGCCTTAATTGGATTGCCATTTTATGTTTGTGCCGCTCAAATGATGGACATTCAAGCGAGGTTTATCATGAGCTACTATAATGGATCGAATGAGCTTCCTTCTACAGATGAAATGCTGAAGGACACCCACGATAGAATGACCAAGCTCTGGGGAGAAGGCTATAAAAAGCGCCATGCCCATATGTTGGGACCAAAACAAGTAGGACTAAACAGGGTTTAATTTATCATCTTTTACTTAAAATGTTTTTATTTTCAAGGTTGACTATTTCTCTGACTTGGCAAAAACTGCCGGAGTTAGGAATATAAAAGCTGTTATGACAAAATTGCACAACGAGAGCAGCAAATGTTTCAATGAGAACTTGCTCCATTTCCGGGAAGATAATTTTGCAATTGTGGATGATGAAACTTTTATAAAATTAAATTAGATTGGATAAAAAAATATTTTGCTTTTAATAAACGAATAATAATCCTGAAATTTAAAAATAATTTATTTCTTTACAGATTTTAATTTTTTCTTATTCATACATTTTACACGCTTACATTGAGTTAAATTAATTCATTGTTTTGTATTTTTGTTCAATTTCTTTTTTGAAAAACCGTTAGATGTTTGCTTACATTTGCTTTAACATAATTTTTGGTATTTTTGACGACAACTGCCTATTTTGTGACCATAAAACTATTAGTGGCTCTGGCCACACTCGCCCACTTCCTCCGCAATCGCACTTCTTGCATAATATTTTGAACACCTCACTTCACTTTCAAAGTTCGCTGATTTAGGTCGGATCTTCAAAAGTGGGAAATCGCCTCGTCATGCAGTGTCCGTTCTTGAACCGTTTTACCGCAAGCTTTATTCGCAATTACGCGGAGACGTTATGCCAATCCTACGGGAGCCACTGCCCCGTGGTTGGAAAGACCTTGGGTGCTGGCGAGAAGAAACTTTCACTCGTCGCCGCAAGTGTTACAAGGTCTTACTCGACTGGGGCAAATGCTGGTGCCCCCGCATCAGCTGACACTGGAAAGACTACCTCCGAGACCTTTCCCTACGAGCGCTTCTTCAACGAGCAGATCATGAAGAAGAAGCGCGATCATTCCTACAGGGTCTTCAAGAAGGTCAACCGTTTGGCTGGTGATGGGCTGTTCCCCCACGCTCTTGAGTATTCGGAGCGAGCGGAAAAGCCCATCACGGTGTGGTGCTCTAACGACTACCTAGGCATGTCTGCGCATCCCAGCGTTAAGAGGGCCGTTCAAGAGGCCCTCGACATGCATGGTTCGGGGGCCGGCGGCACCAGGAATATTTCAGGCAACTCTCTCCACCACGAACGCCTTGAGCGAAAACTAGCAGAGCTTCACCAAAAGGACGCCGCGTTGCTATTCACCTCGTGCTTTGTGGCAAACGATTCCACGCTCTTCACGCTCGCCAAACTGCTACCTGGCTGCCAAATCTTCTCGGACGCGGGTAATCACGCCTCCATGATCATGGGTATACGAAACAGCGGGGTGCCCAAGCACATCTTCCGGCATAACGATGTGGACCACTTGCACCAACTGCTGAAGCAAACGGACAAGAGTGTTCCCAAGATCGTAGCATTTGAGACGGTACATTCAATGACCGGTGCCATCTGTCCGCTAGAGGAGCTGCTGGACGTAGCTCACGAGTACGGGGCTATCACGTTCATAGACGAAGTGCACGCTGTGGGATTGTATGGCGACCATGGAGCTGGAGTCGGCGAACGGGACGAAGTTTTGCACAAAATGGACATTATATCGGGAACCCTTGGCAAGGCTTTCGGTAACATTGGGGGCTACATTGCAGGGTCTGATAAGTTGGTCGACATGATCCGGTCGTATGCGGCTGGTTTTATTTTTACCACTTCGCTCCCACCCACTGTGCTTTGTGGCGCCCTGGAGGCCGTTAACATCCTGGCTTCGGAGGAGGGTCGACAACTGCGTCACATGCACCAGCGGAACGTCTCCTACCTAAAAAACTTGCTAAAAAGAGAAGGTAATTGCAGACTTTATGTAACACGAATTTAAGGTTATTCTCGCATTTTAGCTTTATTTTGAGAGGTGTCTAAATATAGAAAATTATACTTAACTTTCAGTTTACTTATTATATATTCCATTTCAGGTTTTCCCGTTGAAGAAACACCCAGTCACATCATTCCAATCAAGATCGGAGACCCTCTCAAAAGCAGTCAAATCTCAAACGTGCTCATCGAACAATTTGGACACTACCTGCAGTCGATTAACTACCCAACCGTAGCTCGCGGCCAGGAGAAACTCCGACTGGCCCCCACCCCATTTCATACTTTCGAAATGATGAACGCTCTGGTTACCGATCTTAAGAAAGTGTGGCAAATGGTGGACCTTTCAACAAACGTCCCGCTATCCCCGAACGGATGTATGTTCTGCAACTCTGAGAGCTGCTGGCATCAGGATGCATCTCCCGACCTAGAATGTGGAATCCCCAACTGTCCTCGCCTGGAAATCTCGGTTGCAGCATAGTTTCCTCTTATACAAAATTCGACTAACTAAAGCATTCGGAATATTAAGCTATGCCTAAACATAACTACGGTTTTGGACAAATAAACATTGGTTTTGGTGCAATATATACATGTATATGATGTAATTTTTGATTGGAATGGGAAAAGCTTCGTTGGTCGATAATACACGGGTAAAGTGACACCTTCGATAACAAGTTGCGTGTTTCATGATTAAAGTCCAGGCAAATGGCATTCTAATTAGGGAATGGCGTGGAAGTAGTTTCTTTCAACCGTGATCCAAAGTCACCTAAAAAAATTTAAATAGCTTTGGCGAGGAGTTTATTTCCTTGAAATTAAGATTCCATTCCGCTTTTGTAATTTCTGAAAGGGTTACCCTGTTTAAAGAAAATGTATGAAATTAATAATCCATCAATTTTAGCAGAGGCAGGGTGAATCAGCAAAACTATGGATGATAACCATGACCACCCCGTTAACGGTTCATTTTTTGTCTGATTACAGATACATACATAAATAATTTTCCATTTTCATATACATTGATAAGAATATATTTTGTACACATTCAGTTAGATACTTAGGGCTAGTTAAACAACTGGAGATCATAAACAATTATTCTACCAAACAGGTCTGTACTGGACTCGAATACAAATTTTATCTTTGAGCAAGCTTTTTCCCGGGCAGTATCTTTAACCTGAAATTGCTGTGGCGAGTTGATGTCTTCTGGATAAAAAGGTTCTTTATGTAATTGTGCACCATCGTCGGAGTACATGATCATTTCCGATTTCAAGCCAGCGAAACCTCCTTGAAATTGAAAACTGAAACCTGAGATAATTAGTGGATCATTCAAACTAACGGTAATCCATTGGGGGGTTCCCTGAAAACAAGGTTGGTATTTAAATAGTAGAGATTTGTTGAAAAGGCTTTACTTTAAAAAATAGGTTTATGTTTTATTAAACTTAAATACCTCATCGGAACTCCAAGAAGTATCTGCTTTTGTATCGAACATAAAATGTTTTCCATATTGCTTGACTTCTTTATTTAAAACCGAGCTCACCCTGAAATGGTATTTTTAACAATATGATATGCAGGCGGATAGGTAAAAGTACCTGCAGGTGAATTTTACTTCTGTTAAAATATTCATATTATCATACAAAGTGTAAATAAAGAAACTCAACAACGAGGTTTTAGGGATGGACCTTTGAATATTAAATATTTCAAAATAAAAACGGATAAATCATTTCTAACAAGAGTTTATCTGAAACAAATTGTTTCAACCAATTCATTAAACATGTTTTAATTTAATTTAAATAATAAAACCCCAGTAAATAAAATATCGATAGGTTGAAAGATATACACAGTATTGATTTCGCAGCCCTCGTCGTAAAAACAAAACAGCTGGCAGTTTAAACGACATTTATATTTTTTTTACTTATCAAGGAAATTGAGATGATAAAAGCTATACTTGTTTTTAATAATCATGGGAAGCCGAGGCTGTCGAAATTCTATCAGTATTTCGTAAGAACTACGTCGTATTGTCCAGTTCTTGATAATCTCATTGGAAATTTTCTTTGTAGGATGAAAGCCTGCAGCAACAAATAATCAAGGAGACTTTTCAGTTAGTATCTAAACGGGATGATAACGTTTGCAACTTTCTAGAGGGCGGAAGGTAAATAATACCTAAGAACATGTATCTAAGATAGTTAAACCCTTTCCTTTCCTTAGCTTAATCGGCGGATCGGACTATAAGCTTATTTATAGACACTATGCCACGCTGTACTTTGTTTTCTGTGTGGACTCCTCAGAAAGTGAATTGGGGATCCTTGACTTGATCCAAGTCTTTGTGGAAACCCTCGACAAGTGTTTTGAAAACGTGTGCGAGCTGGACTTAATATTTCACGCTGATGCAGTTCACCACATTCTTTCAGGTTTGGAAAATTTCTCTAAGTGTAAGGATGCAGTTATCAAAACTTTGTTTCAGAACTTGTGATGGGGGGAATGGTTCTGCAAACCAATATGAACGATATAATGGCCAGAATTGAGGAGCAGAACAAAATTGTCAAACAGGAGGCAGGAATTTCGGCCGCACCTGCTAGAGCTGTCAGCGCCGTGAAGAGTATGAACATTCCTCAACAGATTAAAGACATAAAGTTACCTGACCTGCCACAGGCAATTAAGGACTTTAAGTTCTGACAAATGCACGTCTCATAAATCTCATAATTGTCTATAATCTGTTAAAACTAGTGCTATTTCACAGTCCTTCAAGAATTTCGAACAGGAACCGACTGTTTCCGTAATAATAGGTCCCATTAATTCAATGTATTTCCCTTACCAAATAAATAAGCAAAATAATTACCAGTAGCCTGTTTGTTTTAAGATATTTGATTTTTTAACAAGGCAAAGAGTTTATTTCATTTTCATTTTGAACTGTGCTTCAAATGCACATAAAATAGTCTTGCGCTCAAGACTTTTAATGATCTGCGTGCTGCTTATATTTAACATTTAAATTTAAAGGGTGTATAATAAATATGTACATTTTATGCTTTTAATCTGTTTAACATTCAACTATTTGTGCTTGGTAGCTCAAGATCGTCTTCTTCGCCTATTTCCAACATTACTTGCATGATTTTTCGCTTCAGCCTCTTGCGTGAAACCTCAGAGTTTAAATTGCGGAATTCACTCGCGATCAATTCCCCAAATGCATCCCATTGATCCCGACTACTTGGTGCTATATGGACAGGAGCGGAAACCATTGGGCCTTCTGTTAGTCGATTTGGAGCAGACGATTTGTTAGACGGCGGAGGTTCCAAGATCGTAGGATTGAGTTCGCCAACCTTTGGGATATCAATGGTTTCTGCATCGTTTTCTATAATCATTGATTCCAAAGTTTCGATTGAGGTTTGGGCCTGTTTTTCAGCATCCTGTTCGCCATAGTTTAAGTCCAGCTTTGTCATCAGTTTCTACAGAAATCCAGAAAAGATTGGTTAGCATGGATTTTAAAGATTTTATTTAAACAGCATACCTTGCATTGAGCACCTTGCTGATATCCTGGCCGTGGTTCTATAACAGAACGCAGGAACATCAGCGTTTTGAAGTGTTCCCAGCGACAAGTCTTTTCTGGATCTCCTCCGGATTCCTCAAGTCTTCGCTCAAGTTTCTTTAATTCCGAATTGAACTGATTACGTAGATTGTGGACTTTCTTGCCGTAGTCGTTTTTTGTTATCCCAAGGGAAGAACAAATGGTTTCGATTGCCTTAGCTCTGCAGTCCTTGTTTTTGTACAGCTCCGAGTAGTGGTTCCATAAACAATCTGAAGAGCGGTACAGTTCAATCAGTTTGGCGATCTTCTCGCGCGACCAAATCGTCTGCTTCCTCCTATGTTTTTTGGTCGCTGGGTTATCGCCGACTTCCTTGGAGGTATTCGACATTTTATTTTTGCGTACAAATAACAATTGGCTAATATGCATTCCAGAATTTTTAAAGCTATCGATTGCAGTACGGCTATCGATGCTAGACCAAAATATCAAAGAGCAGTATATTTTAGTATATTTTGAAAACCTTATAAATTGAATATATAAGCTTTTTATTTATAATTAAAAATTTACTTTCAAATTGTTTAACATACTGTATTTTAATCTATTTAACTTAAATAAAACTATAAATAATACATAGCCGATAGTTTCGCTCACGAGCGCACTCACTCGCATCTTTTGCACTTATCGACTAGTCGATATATCTCAATCGCAATTAAATAGATGTACTTCAGTATATAAATAAAATAAAGTAAAATAAGTAAATCTGCTGGAATATGCATTCGCGCTAGCCAAAAACAATTGGAAAATGTGTGCGGGACACCCAAGTCGAATGTAGACCATAATTTGTGCTGGCTTTGGTGACAAGGGACCACAAAACTGATAAACCCGAAGCCGACGCCCACTGAACTCTGTTTCCTGCACAGGAGTGTAGCTTTGGATAAAATCAAATTGGGTAATTAATACGAGGAAATCGCGCACCTGGTAATACAGCACCTCAATTTTCGTTTCAGACACTTTAGATAGGCCGCCAGCGAACCCTACGTGTAAGCGCAATGTCACAAGTAATACCCAACACGCCCACACCCCAAATGCTGACGACATCAACGCCCATAGAACCCATGAAACCACCACCACCAGCGTTTCCCACGCTAGGCGGCGCAAACATTCACGAACAGGCGTCTGATATGATACTACGGGCGTCAACTATTTTCGGGGACCTAAAGCATGACGACGCGAATCTGGAGAACGTTCCCCACGGAATTGAGACTGAGCCAGAAGAGGATTCGCCATATGGCGGGAACGGAAGCTCCAAAATCCGGATAATGCCCAGTGTGAAACTTATGGCTACTCCGCTCGCCTCCGATCCAAAGCGCAAGTTTGTCTGCCCGTATGATAATTGTACAAAGAGCTATGGCAAGAGCTCGCACCTGCGTTCCCACCTCACCTGGCACACGGGTATCAAGCCTTTCGTCTGCAGCGAGCCCAAGTGCGGCAAGGGATTCACGCGCTCCGACGAGCTCAACCGGCACCTGCGGACGCATACCGGCGAGAAGCCTTTCGAATGCATCCAGTGCACCAAGAAGTTCTCACGCAGCGACCACCTCACCAAACACCTGGCCACCCACGACCGCCAGCTGAAGGGCAGCACGCCGAAGAGATCGGTGCCTAGCGGCGGAGTCCGACTTAAGCCCTCTAAGAAGCACTCTCAGTCAGAGTCTGATTCGGGATTTCACTTCATGGCGGCGATGGTCACATGTGAAGATCCTAGCATGGAGCACCACCATCAGCAGCAGCAGAATCAGCACCACCAACCCGCGGATATCTATGACCAGCACAAACCCCTAAAAATCAAGTTGGAGCGACCGGAGCACAGTGACAAGTACCAGATCGTGGCCCCAGAGCACCAGCATCAGAATCAGGGACAAGAGCAGAGCCAGCTACCATCTTTTCTTAACCAGGCTAAGCCCGAGGTGAAATATGAACCGGCAGACGAAATGGTAAATACCCTTTCTCAGCTACCGCCGGCGGACGGGCCGGGCACTTATGGGATGCCACAGTTCGTCCAAGATCGGCCATTCCGTTGCCGACAATGCGAGAAGCGGTTTAAGCGGCAAGACGACCTCAACCGGCACATACGAACGCACACCGGCGAGAAACCCTACGCCTGTCCGCAGTGCTGTCGCCGATTCGTGAGGAGCGACCACTTGAAAAAGCACCAGCAGACGCATTTAAAAATACGATAGTTTCTTAGATTTACTCCTTAAGTCGCTAGCCATTGGCATCCAATTTATAATGGCTAAACAACGGGCGTGTGTTGGGTGACACACACAGTACAATAAACTTAAATAAATTCGCAATCTAACAATATTCCTATGCAAGATCTACGCTGGCTCTTAAATCTCAATTTGTATGTATGTAAATAGCTAATATGGAATTTTAATTTTAACTTTAATTGTTTTGTGTTTGCCAGGACATAAAGGTATATTTTTTGGCTACTGTGTTCCCCGAATCCATTAATAAAAATTATTGCTGTAAAACTTGTGCGTGTTTATGGGATAATTGTTTAATATCTTGACAAGGATGTCGAGAGTTGGATCGATATAATAATAATTGTAGCAATATCATAATTAAATATCAGTATCATAATAAAAAAAAGCAAATAAAATTCAGTTGTTTTCAGATATATTTTTCATATGTTGCAACATAAAAGAACCTTCGGCTATCGATATAACTAATTGAAACCGCATTATCGATAATAACACTGTCATTTCCATTCGCTATTCGATTCCTTTCCAGAATTTAAGCAATGTTTTTATTTTCCAAGAACTAGTTAAATAATAAGAATGTGCGACTTTGACGCCTTGTGGTCGGATGTGTTAAAAATATTTCCAGTTTTGAATGGAGCCGTAGGTTTATCTTTCCTGTTTTCGAAAAAGAATTGGTTGTAACAAACGAAAAACTTTTCCAGAACGCGCTTTCCGCTGATCCAGTTGAGGAGGAGGTATTCGAAAATGTTCGCCGTCATCTGAAGATGTTGGGAAGCATAGACACCTTTACGGGAATAGTGGATCTGGAAATACAGTCCATTATTCGAAATATTCTGGTGCCAAAGTTTTGGAAACATTTCCATGCCGGCTTGTCCCCGACAGAATTGCAGGGCGGGATTAACGGCCAAGCTCAGGCCATAGAAAAACTGCCTGATAAGAACCTTCTTTTCACTCAGTTCATAGATGCAATTGACGAGTTGCACGATGGATTTCAAGGCCTAATGAAGATTAAACCGAGATTGGTGCAGTTAATAGGTACCGAAGGAAATCCCTCTTCGAAATCGGCGAAGTTAATGCAGCAGGATGGGATAAAGAACAGCTTAAGGGATTCCTTGCTAGCTCAGCTACCTCCCACTTTTAGTGTAGTCGTCGGAGCCTTCTATTGGGTACACTTTAAACTTTTCACCAAAGCGTCACATCTCGCATTGACCACAGTTGGTATGGACTAAATTGGATCTAAAGTACTTTCCATATTTACCAAGTTTTCCTTACAGATTCCGATGTATTTGATGAGCTGCTGTGCGTCGGCTGCAACTTTGATGTGGAGCAGTGCTGCTGCCAGAGGTTGACCGTAATGGTTAACAAAACCAACATGAAGCTATTCGAGATGAACCTCATAGATCGTTTAACTGGGAGTGCTTTAACAGCTCTTATAAAGCTTAAGATCAAGGAGCATATTAACGATACTTGCATGGGGATTTTCGACAGAAGCCACCTAAAACAACTGGAAACTGTGAGTCGATTAGAATTATATTAAGACTATTCACAATTGTCTTATAACTAATAACTTTGTAGTGGCTTTCTGAAGTTATAATGCCATGGCTTAGAAACATATTCACAGAATGGAAGCCTAAGGATAGTATAAGCGATCCCGAAGTACCCGATTCTGTAAAATCCTTTGAGGTCAAACTGACTTACTTTATGTACGAAACTTTTGCCCAAAGCGTTATAGGTCAATTCTTCAGCATTATTATCGGTATGCTCGTTAAAAATTAATAATAAATACGTGATTGCACTAACTATTTGCATTTCAAAATCATTAAAACAGACTACCCAGACTCCATTCCGGCTATAGATGACTTAAAGATTTGCATGGAGAAAATTGATATGCGAGTCTACCTTACTGAATCTCTTAGAAATTCGCTAGAAGCAAGAATTTTGCATCCTGGAGTCAACACCATGGACATATTAACCGGTTATGTGGCTGCTATTAAAGCTATTCGTCATTTAGATAACACAGGTGTGATCCTGGAAATGGTAACGGCTCCCATCAAAGATTATTTACGAAAACGTAACGACACAGTGCGTCGTGTTGTAACTGGTCTAACTGAAGAGGGACCCACTGACTTATCCGAGGAACTTGCAAAGGGTGAAACGATTAAGGAAGGAAAGGACTCTGGCACCGATGAGTTCAGCAACTGGGAAAACTGGGAACCAGATCCGTTTGGTATAGATGCAAGTATCATGCAGTATAACAGCTCTCGGAAAATGAGATCGGCCGATATTATTTCAATGGTGGTTGATATATATGGAAGTAAGGAGCTTTTTATGACGGAGTATCGAAACCTGATGGCAGATAGACTGCTTGCTCAGCTAGATTTTAATTCTGAAAAAGAAATTCGAAATTTGGAACTGCTAAAAATCCGTTTTGGAGAATCCCTACTTCACAGCTGTGAGGTGATGTTGAAAGACGTTACAGACTCAAAAAGAATTAACGCTCATATCCATAGCGATGGCAACCGCACGGAAAGTGAGTTATTTCATAATGTATAAAATGAGTAATTTAACCGTTCTTATTTTAGATCAGTTGTTTGACATCTCTTCGCTGATTGTTTCTGCACAGTTTTGGCCGTCCTTTAATAAAGAAAGTCTGCAATTACCCGAGGAGATAGAAAATGAGTTCAAAAAGTACACCAAGGCTTATGAGGCGTACAAAGGCAACCGCACACTTAACTGGCGTACTGTGACTGGTCGTGTAAATATAGAAATCGAGATCGGAGACCGAACTATGGAGATGGTTGTGAGCCCCACTTTAGCAGTTATCATATATCACTTCCAGAACAAGAGTAAGAAAATATAATTCCCATAATATTACAATGTCAAACATAAATGTTTCAGGTGAATGGACGATCGAGGAGTTGAGCTCGATTACAAAAGTTCCACCCTCTGCCCTGCGGCGTCGCCTGAGTTTTTGGCAAAATCACGGATTAGTTTCCGAAACCACACCTGGAATATTTACTCTATTAGAAAAAGAGTCGGAGAAATCTCATTTTGAAGATATGAGTCTCGCAGAAGCCGACGAAGAAGACTTGGAATCTGCAATGGCTTCAGCCAGTGATCAAAGGGAAGAAGAACTTCAAGTAAGCGTGGTTACGTGTCATTTTTGTTATATATATATGATATTAATTTCCCTATTTTCCCTAGGTATTCTGGTCCTATATTGTTGGCATGCTCACGAATCTGGACTCCATGCCAATAGACCGAATCCACCAAATGCTAAAGCTATTTGCTTCTCACAGTGGTGGTGTGGAATTTACTCAGGACGAGCTAAAGCACTTTTTGCAGCGCAAAGTCAGAGAGCACAAGCTTGTATTTTCGGGTGGAGTTTATCAATTGGCGAAATAAACTTAGGAGATTATCAGTATTAAGTTGCAAACGACTGAAGAAATCATGAAATACATAAATGAATAAACGTGATAACGTTTATAAAATTTACTGTTCCATGTTGAACTTTCGTTTTTTCAAACTGTCGTCTTATCTATTTCTATTCAGGGCTTATCTGTCATCTGCGTACACTGCAAAACCTTTGCCTACACTTACTTTTTTGCAAATGACTTTAGGGTTCTGAACAGGAGGCATGCAATCAAGTGATAAATAGAAGACATAGAATACGTCTAATTCTTAGTTTATTTAGTTATATTAAGGTATATTCTAATCCCGTTATCAACAAATTCATATTTCTTAGGGTTCTAAAACTATACGGCGAAAAAATACTTTAGTTTTGATTTTCTTTACAGAATTAAACAGTTTTTGGCTTCATAAAATAAATCACGAACGCAGTGGCTAAATCGATCACTTTATACACGCAAATAACTTGTGCTTAATTTAATATTGTAATCGTTATAAACTGTAATGTGTACATCAAAAGTTACTTCAGGTATGAAGACAGACTAGTCCTCTTGCAAGAATCGAGCTAGGTAGACACTTTCCCGATGAACTGGGCTCAGAACGGTGTTTAGAATGGGTGAAATCCGCTTAATCCGCTGCTGAAAGCGAGCCCGATCTCGTGCCATCACCTGCCACTCGCTTTTCCTAGCAGCCCGATATGCATAGTCCCAGGCGAACATTACGTGAACTTCGGGTTTCATGTTGAACCGAACCTGTGGGCATTATTAGTAAATTTATTAATACAGTTTTTTTTAAGTTCGGACGGGTAAGCGCACCTTCTTAAGTGAAGTCGAGCTCTCCTGGCTGCACTCGCAGGCCTTGAGCTCCTCGATATCATCATCTTCATCGCATGCCGTGAACTGCACGCTGCTATCGTCATCATCATCATCCTCATCGACTTCCTCGTCATCCTCCTCTGAGTCGTCTTCAAAGCAAATGAAGCTATCCTCACTGCATTCAGAGATACTCCGCTGTCGATGTATGGAGTTTTTGGCAGGCGATCCTCCGGAGCTTCCAGAATTGTTGTTTCTGTCACTGAAAACTTGACTAGTAGGGCCCTCATCCGTGGTGTCCTTGAACCCGTGGCGCGGATGCAGGTCAATGAAGAAGTAACAGGAGGACGGCACACAGCGGCGCAAAGCATCCAGCTCGATTCCCGCCATCTTGGCGCCCGGCGGACTCTGGGCATTGACGCACTTGTGCAGGGCGTTCTGCATCTGGCTAACCACGTCCATGGCCATCAGTTTAAAGGACATCATTGTGGCTAGCGGATCTAGGGGGTCTGGCTGTAGTGGAGGGATCCGTAGATCTTCGCGAACTTCGAGCGGCTTGGCCTCGGCTTCTTGGTGCACCTTGTTTGGCTTCCACAGGGAACTAGCGGTTAGGGGTCGCGACGGCCTGCACCGATATTGCTCGTAGATGGGGGAACTCATGTTCGCAATTAGGCGGAGAACAAAGAGGAAGGGGTCAAACAGCGCTCCCATAAGGGTGTGAAATTTCGACATCTAAACTTAAAGATAGAAGTATGCGATTGCTGTGGTGGGAATCCCTTTAGAATGGCCATTTTCTTGAACTTGGCTTTTGGTGGCATGGTGGCCAGCTTAATTTGAGGCAGACTTATCCATGATTACTGCGATTAACTAATGTGATGTGGAGTGAAATAACGCACATATATTGTGAAATGTTACGTATATCATGCATTCGACTATGTGCACTTTATTGTTATTCAATTGTAGGCTAGTTCTGCTTTTGTTTCCAGCGTATATAGCGAGATATAAAGTCCAGGCACAATAATATTCAGAGTTTTACACGTTTTATACCAGAATAGTTCCATACTTTTTCACTGAGCTGAAAATTTATCGATTACAGCCGTTGAATCACCTTGGGTGTTGTTGTTACTGTGAACCTTTACCCGCGCACCCGACAAATATTTCACATTTAAAATTTTTAAATACCATTATCGATAATGGCTTATCGAGTATAATAATTTTATAAAGCTATTCGTTTTGTTTAATTTCTTGATTACTTTTTTATTATTAGCTTTTTTCTAATTATAAATAGAAATAATTTTTCAACTATAACTATAACTCAAATTAAAAATATGGTGGTTCTTGTTAAAGCTCGAGACAAAATAAATGAAAAATAATTTCAAACATATCAATTTAGTTATTTAAGTTTTTTTTTATAAATATATACGAAATTCGCAATTATTTTTTTTATGTTCTCTGAAAAGTAAATAACTCATATATATGTTATAATATTATTATAATAACAAAACGTTCGTGGGTCGGACAATTTATAACTGATCATCCAAGATAACCTCTTTTTGGGGGATTTATTCATGAAAAGTTATAGAGAAAAAACTTAGGAGCTAAGGAGAATAAATAATATTGAACACATTCTTTTATTTATGTATTTGCAACCTGAAAATTTAAGATGAAATATTGCGGTGGCAATCAACACGATTACTTCCGTGTGTCAGAGCACAATTAAAACATGAACACTCGTATGTACATATGTATGTACATATATATATATGTATCTATTGTTCATTAACCGATATTAATACCTGACAATGTATGAAAATGCAAGTGCGTGTTCCGCTGCGTCATTTCGTAGATAAATACTTATATACATATAAATACTTATATACATATATGTATATGTCTGCACATATATGGAACTTGCATCTGTAAATACATACATATATATGTATGTACACAAGTATTTAGCGTATTTTTAAGTATTACACTTTACTGGATGGCAATTATGCATAATATATCAGATCTTATATATAGCAGCATAGCGAGTATATAAAGCCATATTCAAAAGCGTACAGAATTGTCTGAAATAAACAGAAGCCAGATTGATATTCATGCGCACATATTTATATGCCCATATGTATACATGTATATGTTCTCGCCAGTATATGCACACAAGCACACGTACAGATTAATCAAACAGCCATATGATTAATACACATTGGAACAGCTGATTCATAAGCGTCGCAGCCAATACAAGTACATACCCCCGCCCCCTGGCCGATATGCTTGTGTTCAGTTACTCACACACCAGCTGGCTGCGCTACTGCAACAGTTGATATCAACAAATACAAGGGCGAACTGCATGTGGCGCCCAGTTAAAGGGGCGCTCTACATGGTTAACCTAAACAGGTAGCAACCAAATATGAACAAACTTATTTAATAAACCATGCAAAGCTCTAATATACGTACCAACAACAAGTGTGTGCCTCCATTGTCTTAAAGTCCGCTCCTGGATGGTCGAGGAAATCAGTCTGCTGAGAGTCATTATGCACACATAGCCAGACACAACCTGCGCTCGCTCTCTCTCACGCGTACACACACAACGAAACGAGTGTATCTGACGTTGGTATGGGTGCATGTATCTGTATCTACGTGCTGCGGACTCAAATCGTAAACTTTGCAGTCAGTTCACTTGAACAGCTGTGAGCGATCGACGTTGGTCGGGAAGCAAATACACATACGCACACAGTTACTCCACACGAACACGCATATACTTATATATATATACAAATATTCGTTTGTAGATATATGCATAATAACGTACATCGCAGTATATGGGGGCTGCATAAGAAACAAGTACAACAAAATCACAAATATACAACAAAATAAAAACGTAAAATCTTTTGCGTAGTTTATTCGCTCGCGTCGTTCGTTTCGTTTCTTCGTTTCTTCACTTACTTCACTCCAGTCGAGTCCATTTCAATTCAAAACCAACTCGTATCTCATCGCTTCGTTTTTTGTTGCGCTGCGCTGCTTTGCGTTGCGTTTGCGTTGCCGAGAGTTTCGTCGCTTCTTCAGTTCAGTTCGATTTGATTCGATGTTTAGTTTAGATTGACCAGGACAGGAAGAAATTCCCTGGTCTCTCGCGGCTCCTTAAAGCTTTATGTAGCCCGAACTAGAACACCAACTAACTAATGAACAAATGAAGTCTAGTAACAAAACGGAACAGAAACCTGTGTGCATAAATTGAGTTGTGATTATAACTAAGCCCGATCCCATTCGATCCGATCTGATCCCTCTTATTGTCAAGTGATAACAGTCGGAACCACCTGGATTTGATTTCAAACAAAAACATTATCAAAATATTTGATGTTTCACATTCAACACGTAAAATAAACAAACACAACAAAAAGCGCGAGTGCAGCAGTATTAGTTGGTGCCCACACACAAACGTAGCCACATAAATACAGCATATATCGTTACATACGTGTGTAAACTCTCTGCACATAAATACGAGCCAATCTATTTAATTCAGTTTCAGTGCATTTATAAATTAATAAAATTTACCCAGCGCGAGTGTAAGTGAGAGATACGTATACCATTGCAAGCTCATTACACGGACGCAGCGAACGTGAGTCTTGGAATATTGCAAACACAAAACACACAATACAACACAACACACAACAAAAAATAAATAAATAACGAGGAACCAGTTTCACCTTGAGGAGCAATACCTAGTGCACACTCACACACGTGTGCGGTATAGGTGCAGTGGTGTGCGAGTGCGAGTATTTCGCTAAATAAAACAGCCCGATCAGACTGAGACTACGAATACATAGTGCATACATATATAATACCCATAGTACATAACACATAATAATCCGTGATAAAGCCCTGGAGAAACCGAACCTTCTGCCTTATCGGAAACCTCAACCCCACTGCCACTGTTCCTGCGACTATGTTTAAGCGGGAATCGGGACAACTGCCCTGGGACACAGATACGGATTCCAATACCGATACGGAAATTGAGATGCAGGCGTAGATGCAGATACCCCAATTATACTGAAAGTGGAAAGATGATAGCTAAGCCCAATCAGGCCACCATTGAACCACCATTGAGCTTTAACCCCGGAACAGTGCCAACGGTTCCAGCAACCACCCCAGCGAATTCAGCGAATATCCAGCGAAGGAATCCAGCCCCAAAACCGGAGTCACTACCACTACCACTTCCCCGCACTCCGCCATCGCCATCGCCTTCGCGAACCCCCAAAGCACAAAAAACACAAAGCCAACCAGCTATTACTCATCCAGCGGCTGTGGCTTCGCCTTCCGCGCCTGTTGCTGCAGCTGCACCGAGAACCCCGAATCCCCTCGCCCACGCCCACGTCCTCACCCTGAACCACCCAGCTGCTCACCGCGTTACCCCCGTACCCAAGATGGACGACGAAAGATCTCCGAGCCAGAGCGGCCATGAAATGACACTGAGCATGAACGGCATCGATTCCAGCCTGGTGTTCGGGTCTGCAAGGGTTCCTGTCAACTCCAGCACCCCGTATTCGGATGCAACTCGAGTGAGTAACACTGCCTTGTTGACACTGAGGAAAAAGGGCATCAAATTCTAGGGTCTTTTATGATTTTGTGCTTGAGGTAGACAGAAGCTTTTTGAGGTACGATATAAAATCATCAAATCATTCCTAGAACTTGAAACTTACATATATATTTCATTTCAAAAGCAATGCCAGATCATTTATTTTCTGTGTCGACATGAAAGCATTTTAGTGAACACGTCATTTTGCTATCCGGTGGCCTGATCGCGTCGCTATAGGAAGATCCGTCCCATCTTGTGTTAAGTCTCGGCCGAAGCGAACTCCTCACCAGCGATGCATTCCTTATCAGCTCTAATGGGAACTACTAAGATAAACAGCTGTCTCGTCAAGGCAGCGTACTTGATATTCAACAGAGAGACCTACATATATAGTACACACACGAATACAAATACTTTTCCAGACCGGACAGGTCAACAAAAAGTTTGACTGATAAGATTTCCTCTAGATTAGATTCAAGTTTTTTCGCGATTATATTCTTTGTTTACAAATACAAGCACATCAAAACAATTAATGTAGATTAGCAATCGAATGGACGTTTGTATTTATTTGCGCTTGATCATAAAAGTTCAACTTCATTTTTGACTTATTATGATGAAATACCCTTTTTAGTCGATACTGCAATGATCAATGGATGGTTATTTCAAGCATGTAACCAGGGAGCACTAGCTCATTGAGTGCTGATGAGTTCCCGACCATAGATACATTCGTGGAGCGCGTGAAAATGCAGTTTTTGTCCCCGTGCATTTACGGGGCGGTTGTACTCGCGTTTCGCTTCCCTGATGACTCACATTATTTGTCGAGCTTGCATATACACTTGTAGATATGTATCTGGTTCTGCCAGTGTGCGGATGGATATGTTGTTCGAGTGGACAGTGCGATTATAATTTGCGCTGCTTTACTGTGACCGATACACATTTATTTATTTTTCTATATTTTTATTTGCTGATATGTTTTTGTCAAAACACGAGTTCCTTATGGCGATCCGGCGAGCATCAAGTGGGGGTATCTATTCGTCATATTATTTACCAGACAGTTAGCCAGAACCCAAAATAATAAGCACATGACCAGGAATACCCTACGCGAGTCCTATCTAAAGTTAATGCCGAATTTTAGCGAATAAGTGTACTAAATAAGTGCACGCACATAGTACACATAGAACATTTGGTGCATTGACCTTGCTTAGCAGTTTGTTTTTTACGGTTATTAGTGCGGACGAATGGAGGAGGCGGTGGCTTGCTTTTGCCTTTAGCCTTTGGCGTCACGAACAGAAAACTCAATTGCGTATTACTCGGATATATGTACATATATGTATGTAGAACTGGGTACATACATATGTACGTACTAAGTCGTTAACTTCTGCGGCTACATGTTTATCTTTACTGCAAAAAATATATTTGATATAGTATTCGAGCTGATGACCTTAGGATCTAAGCGTAAGGCTAGAACGGTTAAAATCGAAAGCCCAGACCCATTTCATCACTTTTACTTGTTCCCCAAAGAACGAATATACATATATATATATGTGTCTGTATTTGTATCTGTATCCCACGGATGCGGGTGTCTGCAACTTCTGACTTGTGGTATCTGTGTGTCTGTACGTGTGTTTGGGCCCGGGTTCGAGGGTATGAGTGTGTTGTGTCTACAAGAGTCGGGCTGCTTATTAGACTTGAACTGAACTGTCTGACTGACGGCGACATTGAGAGTGAGTTTCGGAGCAGAGTCGTGAGGGCAAAGGCAATGGCAATGGCAAAGGCAACAGCAACGGCAAAGGCAATGGCCGATGGAGCATCGCATCCCGACGGCCCCAACATCCACATCCACATACTCTCGTACCATCGCTCGCCGTTTCAGCTGAAAGTCTGCTCCACTCAGCCCGCTCAGCTCATTTCGGTTTAGCTCGGTACTGCCAAGGGTATCGGCTCTACTTCGGATGTGGATGAACTCGCGAGGTACACGAACTGCTGCAAGGTCGAAGTTAACGCTATTAATAGGTAGTTTCTGTCGTCTCTCGCGGCGAGTATAAAACGGTTATTCACATTGGCCAAACGACGCGGCGCGTCACCGCTATGACCTATTCCAAGTGCCAGGTTATTCGATGCTGGCTTGGACTTTCCAGATCTGACTTCAAAGGGATTATTAGGAATCCGGAAACAAGGAAGCAGATGCGAATTAATAATAATTCATGCTCGGAACGGTACCTCTGTACATCGGCCCACTTGGCCGTGTATCTTAACAATCGAAACAACCGAAACACATATAAATACATACAGACACAAACCATATTTCGTTTTAGGAGCGTTTTATTAACCTTGACGAGGGACATTGAACTTCAAACGCTGCGAATACGTATTTTCGTACAGATACAAATGCAAACATACCGACATAGACAAGGCGATATACAAAATGCATATATGTCGTCGCACACAAGCGTTCGGTTCAGATGGACGGCTATATGTATAGTACACCTCTGGTGTGAATTTTATTTCCTAACTCTTTATCTGTGATACGTTAATATGCAATGAACATTTATATACGCAAAAGTATAATAGGTAAATGTGTTTTTCGCATGAACGAATTAACGGAGCGTATCTATGTACCTACATATTTGCGGTTTTTAAAAAGTAAAGGAAATTTCGTTGTTCCATAATTTGTGAAAACAAGGGAGTGTAATAACTTATGCACTGGGGACTGCCGGAAGTAACTTCGAATATTTGTATGTGATGCATATAACTAAAGTCTCTCGTTTGTTGTACTTTTAACGTTACTTGGGTATCTTATTGAAACAATGTTTTAAGCTAAGAAAATTAGTTTATAGTTTATACTAGTTGGTATAGTACTGGCACTGAATCTGTAATTGAACAGACTTATATAGTTATATTTATTCCCAAAATGCTCACCACAATTAATAAATTAATTTTTAAATGTAACTGAATTTAACCTCCACATTTTCTTCCTTGCAGACCAAGAAGCATTCTCCCGGCCATATTAAGAGACCTATGAACGCCTTCATGGTGTGGAGTCAGATGGAACGTCGAAAGATCTGCGAACGGACACCGGACCTGCACAACGCCGAGATATCCAAGGAGCTGGGCCGCCGGTGGCAGCTCCTCAGCAAGGACGATAAACAACCATACATCATCGAGGCTGAGAAGCTCCGGAAGATGCACATGATTGAATATCCCAACTACAAGTATAGACCCCAGAAGAAGCAGACGCGCTCCCCAGGATCGCTCAAGCAGAATCAGGACGCAGACAGCTGCGAAGCTAAAAATGACACACCCAAATACACACTGTCCACTCTTGCAATTAATGGAACCACCACTGCCGTTCGGAAAAGCAAAAGATCTACCTCTACATGTCAAACTGGTTCCCCTTCGAAACGAGTAAGGAACGATTCGGGTGATAACTCAAAGTCTAAATACGAAGTTAAGGTGGAGTCTGCAGAGCAGCATAGCACCGTGGATATTATACTACCCTCAGCAGATAATCTATTAAGCTACCAATCATCTGAATACTTACCTCTAAGCACGAATAGCAATGCCGATTGCGATGAAAAGCTACACTCAGACCTTAGCTCGGGTCCTTTGGAGTCGCGGGAGAATTTGTCCGATGTGGTCCACCGGTATCTGCCGCTTTTCCTAAACAGCAACGAGGACACGCAGCTGGATGTTAATTCCTCGGCACAGAGCCACAACCAGTCGGATCCCACAGCTGGATTGATAGACAACATCTCTGACATCAGCCCCATCAATGACCGTGAGGAACTGCCAACAGAGGTATTGCGGTATCTACCGTATATGGTAGTAGACCCATCGAGTGATGGGCACACCCTCAAGGGGGAGTCTAGCCTGCTGGACAACCCCCTCAACGAGCCCGTGTTCGACTCCGAGGACAACATTGTGAACGATGCTAACTTGCACTCGGCCAGCCATCAAATACCTCCCTATGTGCCTGAAACCCACGACTGTTTTGCGGAGGACTGTGTCGGGGAGAACTCCTCGCACCAAGTGGAGTTCGAGGTACGGCCGCAGACGGTGACCATGACGATGACCTGCACCCTGCCTTATGGCGGGCCCGATGGTGGGCACACATTCCAGAACGATGACTTCAACCCGATCCCGTCGGCAGCCGAGGACAGCGACTGCAGCATTCTGACCACCTCTAACTCGCCGCAGATTGGCTTCAACGGGAGCAGCTTCGTGGAGGCGGACGCCATCGGTGGCACGTGTACATACACCCAACAAGACTACACCGGAAATGTAATTGAAACACACAATGATCTCAACTACGCCGCACATGATAACAACGGAGCTCTGCTAGCTTACACATTTGAGGACTTGCCGCCTCAGCCAACCGGTAGTCATTTAGAATTTAACACTAACAAGTACGAGTTTGCAAGTTATTATAAAATGTGAAAGATATTTAAGTCTTGTGTAATTTATAACTAATCTAATTTTACGTTTATAATTTTACACCAAATTATATATATAAATATATGTATACAGATAAATACTATATATTCCATAAATTCTATATACAAAAAAAAAAACAGAATAAAATGCTTTGCATTGAAAATATTCACGGTAGAAGAGACTCATCTAACTGCGTAGCGGATTGTTATTTCCTAGAATATGCGAGGCGATTAACCTTGCCGGCCGATCAGCTAATTGTTTCCAAATTCAATTAATTTCATTTTCACTGCGTTCTCGCGAATTATCTACATATGTTTATTTACACGCACAAATATTTTACATAAATCATTGGTGGCCAACAGAATAGGATACAGAATGACGCTAAACCATCAATAATTGTCATACACGATAAAATAATCCAGACAATAAAGTAGTATACATTCGTTTCACTTTTCGCAGTTGATTTCACGGCTCTTGATAGCCAGTTTACAAAGTGCTCGCCTCGATATGTGGGATATTGTGTAGGCCAGTATCGGGATTGGACCAGTAATAGTAGGGAGCGCCCTGGCTGAAACAGAATTTCATATTTAGGGTTTCCCCTTGATCCACATAGTACATGAGGTAAAAATTGCACATTTCATCTTCGTTCGTGGGCCTACCAATGTAGGGAAATTCGATTTTAAAAGGGGTTTTATTTGACATCTTAAAAGCCTGGTACTTACCCGACTTTGGTTATCCGATGGCGGGTACTCTCCAGAGTACACCTCACGGCAATCTTATCGCCTTCGATAATAGGGTCCCTGTTGGTGATGTTATAGAACATCTGAGGCGTGAGGGGATCTCTCTTGCCCAGTTGCAGCCACTCTTGTTTGCCGTCGTTATTGGTCCTGACCCTATAACCAGATACCACCTTTCCTAGTCCGTGAGTGTGGACCCGGTAAGCGAAAGGATGCAGCACCTTTTTCTCATTTACTTCGCATGCAGTTTCTAGGTGCTCTGTTTTCATGGCCGGAATCATTCCGTCTGTTCCCAGTAGTAGAGTGCCAGCTAACTTTTTGCGGCTGCCAGCGAAAAGAATAATTAATAACAAATCGTACAATATTGGCGAGAAACTTACGGCTCCTCTGTGTAATCTAAGAATACTCCAGAGTCATCGGTGGAACCATCTGAAAGGAAATTGCTTTTTTATAAAACCTTATACACTGTAATGTTATTCAAGAACTCACCTTTGAATTTATCAATGTGGGCATAATGAACTTGTAATACTAAATATTTGGTGGGCGAATTCTTACCCACCTTAAAACCCACTCCTTCAGGCAAATTAAGCTTTTGGGCATCTCTAGCCCAAGCATATATGATCTATGTAGATATTAAGTAAATATTTTAATTATTATCTGCACGAAAGCTTCCTTATTTCAGGATTAAAAGCAGGATTAAAATTATATGCAATAGGATTAATTATTATATGGACCCAACTTTAAAGCACCGCCACTTCTGTCAGACTAAAGTGAAAATTGAAATAGAATACTAAATTCCAGATATTTCTCAAAAAAATTAATTGTTCTGACCAGAGCCTGTTTAAAGTATGTCTCCTTCTATATGCTGCAGATGCAACCAGGAGATTTGGCCAAGAACAGTTTGCTGTTTAGGCAAGAAGTATCATCCGCATCACTTCACTTGCACCGACTGCGGGCTAGTAGTGGATCCTACGCTGTTCTTCTCGGTAAAGAACGAGGTGGTCTGCAGTGAGTGCTACCTAAGCAACCATGCCATTCGGTGCTCTGCCTGTCGGATTCCTATCCTAGAGCGCGGCTTTGGCGCCATGGGGCGCAAGTGGCACGAGAAGTGTTTCCGGTGCGTGAGCTGCAGCAAACGACTGGTCTCTGCGACCTTTTTCGAAATAAACGGATACCTCTTCTGCAAGTCACACTTCCAGGAACTGTTTTCGTCCCGCTGTGCCGGTTGTACGAAACCCATAGATAAACGAGCTGTGGTAGCGCTGAGCACCAAGTGGCATACGAATTGCTTCAGGTGCCAGAACTGCCGTAAAAAAATCACCGAATGTGAATTTGGGATCCACAAAGGACGACCCATCTGCCTTGCCTGCCAATTCATCATCTTCATTCCCCAAAATATGTGTGCCTTATAAATATCTTGTGAACTGTTTCCTGGCTTATTAGAATAATACCTGAGAATGAGAATGGGGGCCGCAGGGACTGGCAGACTCTTCCTGGGACGCTCTGTTCATTTCGCCGCAGTTCCTGTTTTGAAAAATATTTAATTGCTATTTTTGTCTATCAATTAGGTTTCTTTAAGACTCACCAAGTGGTTTTCGTGGTTCCGGGTTCTCCGCATCCATAGAGCAGCATATGGTGGGCCGTGTTCATGGTGGCATTGGGATTAAAACCAACTATTCAAAATTGAATATGAGTATGTTACGAATATAATCCTATCAGAACGTACCAATATAATAGGTCGTAGTTGGATCGACTTTTATGGGCGTGCACAAGTACAGATCGGGCTAAATTTGACGTGTAAGTTGGTTAGTTAAGTAAAGAGAACGAGCATATTGGATTAGTCAACAAGTATTATTCAAATATGTGTATTGGGAAACTAAATAAGAGGTCGCCCTTCATTCATTCACTGTTTGCCCTTTTTAGCCACCTTCGTAAATATAAATTTGTATCTACAGCGCAGGTTCGAGAAGTGCAATCTACAGGTTTCGGTTTCAAGGCATTATATGTGGGTGTCGAATCGTGTGTATTCGAGGCGCCTAACTAACCATATAGAAAAATTTGCACAGCGTACAAAGGGATTTTCCCCGAACAGAATATGTGGATGCAAATATATATAACCCACTAAATCGTCATTCTCATTTCAACTTTGAATATGAGTTCGTTTCGCTGATAAAAATTGTTACGCTCTGCTTCGAGTATGTGGATGATCCATATGGGTCGTTATTTATATGTATTTACATAATATATTTAAGGGACTTACAGTTTGCGGCGAAACCTTGGGCATCAGGAATGGAAACGAAGCCGTTGCGCCTGTTGCGGAGTTGGTCTCGAGATTCTGTTGATATACGGAGTTCTGGTAATCCCCCTCTTTTACAAGGCCGTCGACACTTATCAGGCTGATAAGCAGGAGGAGTCCAACGGGAACTGAGATTTCGGATATTCGCGGCATTTTCTTCGTTTTCTTCTTATTCGAATGTGCACTGCACTAAACACTTAGTGATAAAATGAAAATAAAAAATCCTCCTATGTGGAAGAACAATACGATTTGTATTGCGCTTTGATATTTTTCCACACGTAGCTAGGCCCAGTTTATATATATATATATTCTGAGGATTTATCGATACCCAGAGCCATTATATCGATAGCCGTTCCAGGGGTGCAAGATTTGTCGTAAGCGGCGCATTCAAAAAAGTCTCAGAAAATCAATTAATTTTCTTAAAATATACGAAATGGTGACATTCGTAATTTTGTGAGCCACTCACTATGAAATACACTTGTTAGCAAGTGGAGTACCTTCCAATTCTTGGTCAATTAAACGGGAAAACATTCGCTTCAATATTCACTGGTAATATCTCTTTGTCGCATGCGCCAATCAATTGATTTTTTTATAAACAGAGCTCCAATGTTTATGCTGCGCATTTTTGGATGTAATTTTAGGCTTCAAGTTGGAACCGTTGGCATTTGGAAAATATCCGACATTTAAATGGAGGATCAGGGCGACGCGACCGACAAAGCCGCTGGTAAGCTGAATAGTTCAAAAACCCAAGGCCACAGATACCGATGCGCTAATGGTAAAGCTCGTTTACCAAATCAGGAGTATTGTTTAATTATTTACAAAATCTTATAATTCTTAGATGAGCCCATTGTGAACACTCAGCAGAGTCGCCAGAACTCGTCGAGTATGTTGAATCTGATGGATGCCAGTTCCTTTAGTATGCCTCCTCCCAATCTGCACTCCTCAAAGGTGATCAACCCAAACAAGGCTATATTTACCATAGACGCGAATACGGGACAGATTTTTATAGTAAACAACAAGGCCTGCCAATTGTTGGGGTACACATCTCAGGAACTGCGAAACAAGGGATTCTTTGACCTACTCAATGGAAAAACAGAAAGTCACATCTCATCCCTGGCCGAGATGCAGATTGAGGGCGACGAGGGCAGAGTGGTCCTGCTGAGTGGAAAGGTCATCGAAATGAAAACCAAGTCGAGCAACAAGATTCTAGTCTCACTATGGATCCGGCAGATTAGTAATGATGGAAGGCATATAGCTGTCGCTGAGCCCGTGGAAAGGCACATCTGCCACATTAGCACTGATAGGTTCGGCGTAATAACATCTGTTGACTCCACCACGGCCACTATATTCTTCTACGAATCCACCGAAAGCGTTGTGGGCGTTAATATTACCACACTGATCCCTTTTATAAAGCTCCCAGAACCGGATAGCAAGGAAATCGCTAAGAGCCTTCGAAAGCAGAGGGCCACTGGACGAACTACGGACAATGTAAAGTTTCCGCTGTGCCTGCTAATAGCTCTGGATGAGAACGCGCCGACAGGATACTCCAGTACGGGAAATACTGTGTTTAGAATCACCGTTTGGGTGTTTCAAAATCTCAGTGGGCTGATTGTGATAGACGATATAGGCAACATATTGATGTGCAATCAGCCATTTTCGCTCCTTATGTTCGGTTATGGGCAGGACAAGATCATGAACATGCATATATCCGCCATATTACCGAATTTCGGAAAGGATTCTCGCGAGGAAAAGAGCCCTAATGTGTCAAACACCTCCATAACCAGCAACGACTGGGAGCCGGATACTGATCCCTTTGTTCTAGACAACGACTCCTCGCTGCAGTCCGGTAAGAAGAACTCCGCCAGTAAGATGGCTCAGGTCCAAACCAACAACGAACCCTCGGTCAGTGATGCCCACTTGAGCTGTAATCTGGAGAACAGCGGTGGGTTGTTCTGTGATCTTCGACAGCCAGATGATTGCACAATAGATGATATTTTAACACCCGTAAATGCTTCGAACAGTTTCCCAGTCGACGAGTTTGAGGGAGGATCCCACTCTCATTTAAACGAGGTATCCCTCGACAAAGCAAAGTCCGCATCCACGGAGACTTGTGATGCCTCGGGCAGTAACCCCGCCAGCAGGTTACTCAGTTCCATTAATGGAAGCTTTGTGGGGGAAGCCATTCACGCCGACGGCTCTGTGATTGAGGTGGTCTATTCAGTACTGCTGCAAATTCTGCCTTGCTCCAATCGGGTTTACTGCATCTGGGTATGCAGAGATCCAAGCACTAGACTCGATGGTGAAAAGTACAACTATATGAATTTAACATCTACCTTCAACAGTATGGCTAGCACTATTGAGCAGTCGCTTGGTCAGGTCATAAAGACCACTGCTGCTCAGAATTCGAGTAGACCAAATTCCTTGTCCCTAGTTTCGAAATACGAGGACGAGCTTTATCTGGGGGACTACAGCAAGCACTACACTTCTATCCGGCAGATCGGAAGGGGTGCTTATGGCTACGTAAACATGGCTTTCCGTAACACCGACAGACTGCTAGTGATCACCAAGTTCATTCTCAAGGAGAAGCTGTGCTCTCAGTTTATGGTCAAGAACCGCGATTGCAAGGATGTTCCCATCGAGATTCATCTACTGCAAACCCTGAACCACAAGAATATTGTATCTGTTTTGGATGTTTTTGAAAACGACTTGTTTTACCAGTTGGTGATGGAAAAACACGGCTCAGGAATGGACCTGTGGACATTCATTGAAAGGCGGCCTTTAATGGATGAAAAACTCGGCAGCTATATTTTTCGGCAAGTTGCAGATGCCGTCAACTATTTACACGAACAGAAGATCCTGCATCGCGACATCAAGGACGAGAACATTATAATTGATCAAAATTTCAACATAAAGTTGATTGATTTTGGTTCGGCAACCTTCATGGAAGAAGGAAAGTTCTTCTCGACCTTTTACGGCACGACAGAGTACTGCAGTCCGGAGGTCTTGGCCGGAAACAGATACGTGGGTCCCGAACTGGAAATCTGGGCTTTGGGCGTAACTTTGTACGTTTTGATGTTCTTTGAAAACCCATTCATCGATGTGGAGGAAACACTGAAAGCCGAAATACAAATTCCAAAAGCAGTGTCTGAACAATTAAATCGCCTCATAATTTCCATGCTAAACAAGGACCCCAAATACCGATGTACCATGCACCAGCTAATAACCGATCCATGGCTTACCCAGGAGGTCAATCCTTCTGCGTTTAGTTTCTCCTGGATAGTCCCCTGCAAGGCCCATGAGGCGAATCCAGATCTGTATTTCTCTGGGTACCTGTACTCCAGTACTTCAGTGTTGTCCACTATATCGCCACAGGAGAGTTTCTCACACATCGAGGAGTCCTCGATGGGAGGTAGTGATGAGGCACGATTGGCATCTCACAGAACCGGACACAAGTTGTGTGTTAATGAAGGTATAGTATTTTTTCCATTCTAATATTCTTATTTTAATACAATATAATATATTGTTGCCTCCTTATAGCCAAGCACAATAAAATGGACACACTGTACGCGAAACAATTCCAGTTAAACACTTCAGTTAGTAATCACGAACTAAGGGCCTCGTTACCTGACTCCAGCCACCTAGAAACCGGAGGTTCTATTAGCTCCTCAAAATCCGAAAACGATATATTTAAGAACAAACTAGAACCCTGCGTGTCTGCCTATAACGTAGTTAGCTTGCACGACGTGAGCAGGAAACCTAAAACGCTTGATCTAAAGTAAAGTTCTATATCTGTTGTACATGTGTAAATTAAATCTATACAATCTGTCATACCAAATGTAAATAGCAGCATCTGTGAAAGGACAATTAAGGATTGGGGGCGGAGAAATATGTAGACGAAAATAAATCAATTTTATTGTTACTCGATGTGGTTTAAGTGCAAGTGGCAAATAGACTATCTTCTTACCTTTTTCGGTCAAAATCAAATCAAAATTCAATGATATACTATTTTGCATTATAGCGCAACAAATAACTGAATAACATTTTAATAGCTTCGTATGCAATCGTCACGAATTAACAACTATTTATACACATACATAAAGACTACCGAAAGTAAGCGTTGAACTAAATATTTGTATGGATGCTTGTGCGACTTAATCGACTAGAGGTCAACATACCGGATCATACTACCACATGACGTCTATGGTCTCACGTGATTGTATACAACTCGAAGTGAAGTGAAAAGTTATGTTTCCCAATCATTAGTACCACGTACAATTATCCAGTTATCAACGATTCCTAAGTTTACACAACTCGCAAATTTTTACAAATATATATATACTGTAAGCTTCTACAAAATGTATCTAAAATATCGTATCGGAGTTTTCGTATTTTCGGTCCCAATAGCCTCCACTATATAGCCAATCGTCGGTCTTGGTTACGTATTTAAACCATCTGAAAACGAAACTAATTAGTGAGCAATCACCTACTTAGTCAGTTTTCATTACCTTGGAGTCCAGTCATCGTTATTGGTGGATTTCCTTTGTTTCCGTGTGTGCCTTTGTTTCTCTTCGAGACGTGTTTTTTCCTTGGACGCACCATCCAAGTTTCCTTCCTCTAGGTATAATATATCAGGTCGCAGTCGCGAATCGGTAGGGCAAAGTGTTAGCGGTGGTTTCATATTGTTATTCATGGCGTTAAGCTGCATCGCAAAATGCGTAAACTGGTAATACTAAAAGGTAAATGGGTTATAAAAAGTGAAATTCTGGTTCTACGAAAGATATTCTTACCTCGTTACTATTGGATGGTCTGGGCTTGCAACTCCATAAAGTGGATGAGTCGGGTATATCAATTGAATACGCAGAATCACTCTTGGGTATGTCACCTTCTTGCTCGAGGGGTGGGTAGCTGTCGTTCTGAAATGTAACAATTTTTGAGATACTTTTCGGTGGTAACTCAAGAAAATTTACACTTACGTCTTGAATGGATAAGCTGCGAAATGAGTTCAACTTAAAACTATTCAATTTCGAGAACATTTTCTTTGGGGTTCCGTTTGGCGAGCCATCATAGTCGTCATTCTTTCTGGATCCCTGTTTTAGATACTGAACGTAGGACTCGGCAGAACAGCATTTAATAAACTCGGTCCATTTGCCATACAGAAAGTATATGTTTGTTTCACTGTACAACGTATTATTCTCCGATTAGCATTCTCTTTAAATTCATACATATAAAAGCTTACCTTGCATCCTTTACAAAGCCTTCAACTCGATGCAAGTTTTTTGCTCCAGATCCGGCTGATTTGAATGTGAGACTTGCCACATGACCAGTGGAATGATTGACGATTTCCATTTTCCCATATTGCTCGATCCACAGTCTGCCCACAATTATGTTGTGAACGCAGCAATTGACATTAGTCCAACTATAACTTTCATTCCATCTGAAAAGGGAGAAGAATTAATTATATTATATATTATATATTATATTTAATATATTTCTGAAAGATATGAAGTTAAACATACTTTGGAAACTCGATGGTGACGGTTCCCTTAGGATTAACCTCAACACTCTTTCCCCAAAACTTGATTTTTGGGTTAATTGTGCCGTGAAACTTAAAGTCTTTGGATTCCGCATGGAATGCAGAAACTGGAGGATGGTGAGAAACTTGCTCGCAGACAATTCGGTAATCGCCTCTTTGCAGTTCGTATGTTTCCCCAAGAAGGGGATTAAAAGGTTTTCCCAGACGCTCCCAGTTTGAAGCTAATGCTGACACGGCAAAAGCTGAAAGATAACAAATAATTTGTAGTTTGAATATCGGTTAGACTTGTCTCTCTTTTTTATATCTTATAGCTTTCTCTATCCATACGTATACGTAATAACACTCACCCGCCACGTATTTCATCCTGTCGGCCGGAGATTCCTGTTGAGCAGCCTTAGTCAACAGTTGTGCGTACTCCATGTACTCGCAGAGTCTCTGCAGGAAGCTCAGTGGTTCGTTCAGCATGACCGGCATGGTGATTTTGCTCAAATCCTTGCCGATACAGTTCTTCAAAATAGCCCAGATACTGACCTCCTTACGGGAAATCATCGGAGCCGGAAGCTCAGTTCTGCAGGTGATAAGATATGGTGTGAGTAGGCGGATGAGTAACGCGGGAGCACTTGAACTACTCACCTCTCCACTGAATGGTCGCCCTCTGCCATTTTTAGAATGGAATCAAGAGCAGTTATACTATGCCCAAAAATCAGACTGCTTTCGTGCGTTTCTGGGGCTTAATTGGTTGCCAGTTGACCCTCTGATGCGGAGACGAATAAATTTACACTTGGAAAGACATGTGGGGAATGCGGCGACGTGTTGGATAGTCCGAAATCTAAAAGGGTTTGGGCTCTTTAAATGAGATTACTCGAGCACTCCGATTAAGCATACACTTGCTATATACGTTTGTGTGTACATATATGCGATCTCAGATGATTGTGTACCTTTTGTTTGTAGTCGCGATTTCGATGGATTGTAATCTTGTGACCAAGGTTTGTCATTCATTGATTTTTCTACTGCTAATGAACGCTGGGCATGTGGGTGTCGTATGTGTGTTAAGATCTGCTTTATTTCCCTTCACATTGTGACTAAACTGTATTTTCTGTTGTACTAATTGTTTGCGTGTTGTACCTAGCACTTACTCTAAAATATAAGCTTTAAACGAAAATTTAATCAATAGTGATAAGAAAGCTTTGGACAGCTTTCAAAGTGCAAGCTTTTCCCAGAGTTGATATTTCCAAATCGATTTGTGATTACAAGTAATTGTGAGAGTGTCTTTACCGTTCGATGGATACCCATGTACAATAGGCAATGTTCTCTCCCAAACAGTGAACCCTTGATTACGTGCTCTTACAATACGAGATAAGCAAGTTTATTGTAGGCCATATTGAACACCAACAAATTTGAGGGTACCGGTATGCAGGTGCTATTGGCGGCATATCCTAAGACTCTTAACCGAAGAATATTTGATTATGGAAATTCTCATTCCACCCACTTAAACGAATCTATTTATAAGCATCTGAATACTCAGAATATTTCATTCTCGAAGGTCAATCACACAATATTTATGAAATGAATTGAATTTAAATATTTTCGTTTTAATTAACCAGATAATATATTTATATATATAGAATTTAGATGTTGTATAATTATGATTATTCCATATATACAAGAAATAAAAACAACATTTTCTTAACACTACTTCGGAACTAATTGACTAAAATGTTGTGAGCAATTCCTCCTGGATGCTATTCGATCGAAGTAGTTGAGTAGGGGTAGGTCCTCCGGCGACTGTGTTCAGAACCTTGGATGACGTAGCCGTGGCGTTCTTTAGGTCATGGTATTCATCGCAGAACGTCTAGTGGCGGAACGGAAATAGAATTATGTTTTCTTTCACCATGACATATTTCAATTTATTACCTTTAGACGGCTGCCCAAAAATATGGCACGTTCACGTTTCCTCACCATGTAGTCCGAGGACATGAGCCACCTGTGCTCCAAGCAATCTTCTGTGTATGGTCGTTTTCTAAATAAAATATATAAACAATTGGTCACTAGATTCCTAGTAAAATTTAAAACTATTTATTCTTAACCCTAATTTATTTAAATTTAGATTTATTTTTGTAAGATGTATGCAAAAGTATGCTATTATTATGGATTTGGCAAGTGTACTTACGTTGGATGGCGCTTAAAGAGCAGCATAATGAATCGCGTAGCCTCGGGAGTGACCTCCTTGAACAGATTCTCGAACCTGTAACGTACGAAGGAGATGTTCTGCTTGGTCTCGTACTCGTTGGCGCCGCGGAATGGACTGCATCCGGACAGAAGCAAGTAGGTCAGCGCTCCCAACGACCAGATGTCGCTCTGCGGGAATATGGGCTCATCGTTGATCATCTCGGGAGGCTGGAAGTCCAGCGATCCACAAGGCGTGACCTTCATTCCTAGCTTGTTGACCTTTTTGGCCGATCCAAAGTCGACTAGTTTCACCTGGATAGAGCGAACGGAGGCCATGACCACATTATCGGGCTGGATGTTTAGGTGGCAGTAGCCACGCCAGTGCAGATACTGCAGGGCATCCAGCAGTTGAGTCACCACAGTGGCCACCATCTGCTCGGAATACTCGTGCCGGCTGCTAAAGTAGGTCAATACATCGGCGCCCTGGAGCTTTTCCATCACGAATATGGCGATGGGCACATTCAGAGGCTTGTAGGCACTAAACAGAGCCGGGATTCGTTCGTGGCGAAGGGTTTTGAAGTTGTCAAACTCGGCCACAACGTTATCCTCGTTTTCATCGGTCACCTCCAGAATCTTGGCCACCACCACCGTATCGGTGGACTTCTGGATGCCCTTCACAATAGTGCTAAACTCGCCGCGGGCTATCTCCGAGATGAAGCTGTACTTGTCGCTCACAGAGGCGTCGGTCACCCAGTTAGGTGGTTCCCTCTCGCAATGGTAGTCGGTGTGGACGCGTTCCTCCTCGGGAACCACTTGATGCCCATTTTCGGTGAGCTGCTGTAAATGCTTCATGGCCTTGGTGATGTGAATTTTAGGAGCATCTCCACCCACTGTGGATGCACCCACCGGGATGCCCATTTCGCTCCAACCGATGCGGTTCTTGGACGCCAACCGGAATTGATAGTTGGTATTAGGCTGCAAATCGTGCAGCAGATAGAACTCGTGGTCAATGTTATCCGCCACCGTGGTCCAGGCATCGCAGTTACTCAACTTGTACTGCAGACTGTAGCATAGAACAGTGGAGTGACCATCGTCGCGTGGCTGCTTCCAGCGAAGTAGGATCTCGGTTCCGCTGTTGGCCGAAATCTCCGGCGAGTCGGGGGCATCAGGTAAAGTGGCCACCACGATACGGCACCGGGCAACTGTTTGACCCACCTTGTTCCTGGCCACAACCTTGTAGACTCCCACATCGAAGTGGAGGGCTGGCTCGAAGCGCAGAATGGAGCGACCGTCCTCATCCACCGATATCTTGATCCTCTTGCTTTCGGTTAGAACCATGTCATTTTTGAACCACTGCACACACGGCTTCGGATCACCCACAGCAAAGCAATGAATGTGACTGGGTTGGTTCTCGGTTATGGCAATCGTTTGGGGTTTCTCCCGGAAAAATGGCGGATACCCTTCTCGCTGTGTCTCGATCATAGCATCTGCTTCGGTGTACTCATCCAGACGGGGTCCCAATTCCGTGCGCAATCGCCTGATCGAGTAGGACTCATTGGCGGCATACATGCTGATTCGGCTGCGAGTGCGCTCGTCATCGATCTCCTCGTCCATGATGTCAGTGAAGCGACGTCTCTCGCGAATCACTGGCAGCTGCACAAAACAAGCCATTTAAGTATCCTTTCACATATAGATTTGTCCATCTATTACTCACCGACCAATCCACTGAATCGTTCAAAGCAAAGGAAGGCGATCGGCGATGCGCCACCTTCATGTATTCGCGCAATCTCACAGGGAAGTTTACGTCGCGCAATTGCAGGAGATATGTATCGGGACCGTATTGGTAGCTAAAAATAAAAGGAGTATAGTTAGTCATATATTCCTAAAAGGATGATTTTTATAAACATATTTTTTGGTTATTACTAAATTATATCTGAGACCATTTCGATATAGAAAACCATACGTGATACTATTTGAAAATTATGTAATACTTACTGGCTCTCCGATTGAATCAGGCCCAGTTCGTAGTCGGGATGCAAGTACTTGGAAACGACTTCCTCGCGCTTGGCCCTGATTCTTGGCTCCGGCAGGGGCTCCGGGGTGTTCTCCGGCGTATAAACGTGTCCAGGGGGATAGACCATCTTTGAAGGATGCTGGAAGCAGCCGCTGAGGCGGCGCCTGCGGAAGTAGTTCTTGCAGGAGGCATTGGCATACCAGTCCCTGAAGTGGTCGTAATAGTTCCGCAGGCGATCAGTTCCGATCTGATAGTCATGATCGTAAACTTGGCGATCGAGCATGAAGAACCAGGGATGCTTCAGAGCGGTCTTAACGTCCATTCGTTCCTCTGGGCTATACAGCAGCAATCGGCTGATAAAGTCACGTCCATCGTCCGAAATGTGGGTCCAAATCTCATCCTTAAAGTCCCAGCGCCCCTCGCGAATCTTGGTGAGGGTTTCTCTATCATCAATGCCCAGGAACGGATTGTGACCTCCAAGCAGAACGTAAGTGATCAAGCCGACGGTCCACATGTCGTGGGAGAAATTGACTCCTTCCTTGTTCACAACCTCGGGAGAAACAAACTCAGGCATTCCGTAGTCCAAGGTCGACAGATTGTGCCTGTTGATTTTCCTCGACAATCCAAAGTCAGACACCTTAATGAGATCACCGCCGACCACGGAGATCAGAAGGTCCTTGATCTGTAATTTGCAAAGGGCATATTGGTGGAGTTTTCATAGCGGTTATTTGAAGTTTCTTACCGTAAGTCCCATATGACCAACTCCCATCTCGTGCATGTGCTCCAGGCCCCATAGTGTCTGTCTAATATAGTGGGCGATATCTCGTTCGGTGTAGTAGTCGCGTCTGAGAAGATTATCCCGAACCAACTCTCCGCCGGCAGCCAGTTCCATGATCAGAGTGACACTTCGATCGGTGTCATATGCATCATAAGGCCGGATTAGGTTCTTGTGATTGAATGTGTTCATCATTTCCAGTTCGTTCAGCATGAATGGACGCAACTCGGGTCTTCCGTACATAATCTTGGCCGCATAATTGTCGCCGGAAGATCGCTCCACGGCGTGATAGGTAATTCCCTGGGTTCCACGACCCAGCTCATCTCCAATATCGTATTTGTCCTGGTAGCGCAACTGCTTGGATCGCACATACGGATGCCTGCCGTAGGTCTTGTAGATATACTGATCCTCGTTCTCTTCGATGTGCACAGTTACCGAAGTGCTAATGGAGCCAGCAATGTTCCTGGCACTGATGGAATACAAGCCACCATCCTTGATGATCGAATCGTGGATCGATAGCACATAGATATCCGGGTCATAGGAGCTGATCTGTATGGTTAAGTTGAATTCGAATTAAGTTAGTTCCTCCAAAAGTATTTCCTGTTACCTTAATGCGAGAAGAGTCTGCAATCGGTTTCCAGTCCTTGAACCAATGCACTTCAGGCAACGGAATGCCCACCAACTTGGCCTCAATTCGTCCGTTCTTGCGCGCCATGATGAAGGTCTCATCTGGACGCTTCAGGAACCTTGGGTGCTCTGCAATCTCCAGTCTCACCCGCTGCCTAGCCTCCCCATGCTCGTTTGTGGCCACAGCCTCGTACCAGCCGACATCACGATCCAGCATTCTGAAGATGATTTTTATGGGCCAGAATCTTGAAATGAATATATTTAAAACCTACTTGTTAATGAAGAGTGTGGCCTGTCCATTGCGAGTGTAGCTCTGATCAAATCTGCCTCCCGATTCGATGATCATGTCATCAAAGTAGTATGTCATCTTTGGCTTGGGATAGCCATAGACAAACCACATTAACTCCGTATTGTGATCTTTTACGCCATAGCTAATGTCTTGCTCACGTAACAGAAATCTATATAGGAAAGAGTTATGAAGAATAACAAACATGAAGATTTGATTTTATTTACTGTGGAGCCTGTGCCAGGCCATCATGTGGGGGTCTCTCAATATCAA